TGTCACTTTAAAACCAATTTGAGGTAATAGAAATACAGACTGATGTACTTTATATCTAAGATCTAGAGTTATACCCTAAATAGCTTTGAAGAATTGACAAATAGGGCAGCACAGATCTAGTATGATTCACAAACAGAGCTTTAAAGGAAGGCACTGCTTTTCCTAGCCTGTAGCGTTTTAAAAAGAACAATAAACGGCTCCTTGTCAAATAAAAAATAGATCTATAAATGAAGATCTTACTATTCAGTAAAAAGTGTAGTGTTTCAAATGTATGTACGTAATTCTAAATGCAAATGGTGCATTTGTGAAAATCCTTTTTCCCTTTGTTGCCACTCTTGAGGTGATTCACTCCTAGTGCACTTCACTGATTATATTGATTATACAGAATGAATTGCTCTGCGGTCCATAGTTTACACGCCAACTCTATTATCTGTGTGTTTTTGTGTGTACATCCCCTGTCTGTGTGTGTAGGCAATACAATAATCAAATGAGTCAAATGCGATGCCAGTAATGCATAAAAAAAGGCTAAATGAAGACGCGTACCTGTAAGTTATGGTGATGTTTGCTCTAGTGACAACTACATTAATTGAAACAAAATTAAGAATTGCCGATTTGATGTTTGCTGCTGCTTGTTTTTTTATGTATCACATTTAAGAACTAGCCAATAATGGCCTACCCAGAAATAAAACATAACGATACAGTTGAATTCCCAAAAACTGTTTAAACAGAAACTGAAAATGATAACCATCATGAAAGATTTATTGCAGGAATGTAATAACGGCATTTCAAGAAGGTCAGTATATCAGTACTTCAGTATTTCACTATGACAGTTGTGGGATGTGGAGCATGCATCTTTGTATAACGTTTTAGTAAAATATTGAACATCCTGAAAATCTAATTTCCTGCTGGAAAGATTTGGTGCAAATTCCCTGTAAATACTGTGACCTCAATTCTCGTTATACAACCTTAGCATAAATGAGGGCAACTTTAGATGACCTTTGGCGAGACTATATTTGTTTCCATTGTGCTGTATATGTTCTAGCCTGAAGCTGTTGCTAGTTATCTGCTTGATTTGTTGTGTCTTAGACCTGCTTCCTGCCTTATTATCCTTCCTTCTGCATCATGATCCCTGGATATGTCTGCTTGTTTGCCTGTCGGATAATAACTATGAGCCCTCACCATTATAACTTATTTTACTCTAATACCTGAACTGTGCGGCTGTTACTGAAAACATGTAAAAGCAAACATTTAAGTGTGTTTTAGCCTGTTTTGTCTGGACACCTTAATGCTGGCACTTTCATAAATCCCTTAGCAGAGATACTTTAAGCTGAACCTTGAGATGAAAACACATCACCAGCCATTAATACTCTCTTAGTTAAATACTTTACAGACGTGTATTCCTTTATATAGTAATGGACAACAATATGACATATTTTACACACAATTAAAATCCCAGTTTTTAGGGGATTTATTTTTATTATTATTATTTTACATATTCACATGTTTTTTTTAACTGTTTAATATTTAATCCTCTCAGAGTTGGTTCTCTGGAGGGATCTGATTTCATTCAACTAAGAATTGGAAAGCACTGCTGGGATATTTTGATTTCATGTTGGGGTGTACAGACTGTAGCAATATGCTGTCAGACAGGTAGCATGTCAGATCATGTCACATTATGTTTTTCAGTGCATACTGCAGTTAAATATGTGTGAATTAGTGGTTGGGTTAGGAGATGATAAATAAAAGACAAGTGTGCTTGTTTTTGTGTAATGCATAATTAATTAAAGGTGGGGTAGGTCATTTTGGAGAAACCAGCTCGAGATCGCTAGAATTTGAAAATACACAGCCGGAAAAAATCTGCCACAGAGCCCCTCCTCCAACACACACGAACGCGCACATGACCAATGAGGGCACGAGATAAGTTTGTGCACAGATGGAAGGCTGACAGGCAGGTAGGCCATCCAGTTATTTTAGCCAGGCCGGCTAAAATGATTGGTCGTGCTTTTTACAGTACTACGGCTTCAACAGATGACATTTTTGTATGGATTTTTTGTCAAAGCACTTAAGATATTTATTGCTATCGGGATGTTAAGAGCATTCCATGGAATATAACAAAAAGTGTGGTAGTAAATAGACGGAACTTAAAATAAATATGTGTAGTTGAATTGTACATCAGTATATAGCATGTGGCATGAAATACAGTGGCATGTACATTTAACAATTACTCAAAGCACTTTGTTACCTTGCTGCGAGCCTAGCACCTATTATTGAGCTATTAAGCCTTCACATACAGCCTGAGATCACGTGGCTGAACAGAATCAAAGCTAAAGAGCAGAGGCACCTTTAATGCCAGGATATCATCTGTCTAAAGAGCTCTGTCCAGTAACTGTAGGTCCCTTTCATGTTGTTTACTGTATTTTTCAGAAAAGCAGCAGAATAATACAATGATTAATGTGTTTATTTTTACATTGAATACTATTGAATATACACACATTGTACAAGTAGAATAGCTAAATAGATAATATATGAATAGATACATTAGGTAGCATGTCAGTTTTGATATAAAACCAATAAACTCAAATCTCAGGGGTTCCTCCATCACAGTTTGACTTCAAATGAAGCAAAGAGGAAATATACAGCGTTTTTTACGTGTTGTTGTTTCAATACATTCACTTATTTTCCTATTGTTTATGTTTTATTTGAATGTTGCAATATATTTCAAGTTAGTTTGGAGTCATAACATGATGTGTTTAAAACACAAGGCCTATAGTTGAAGATATATCTAGTAGGTCATTTTAAAACACAGAAGAACAGGAATTGCCATACTTGAAATCACTGCTGGATATTTAGTAAGAAAGTAATGAGACTAGATATTCTATGTTTTGATTCAAACATATTTTACATAGCAAACATTTTCCACACTGTCTTGTCAGACCAGAGGCCTGGGGGCTATACTACGAATCAAGATTTTCGTTTAGCAAGCTAACTTCAGGGGTTTCCGGTCCTACGAAGCTGGTTCACTTTTTAGCAGGCTAGATAACTTATTCTGAACGGCGCAGGATAGGTTCCAGGATAAAAGCACTGCCTGCTGACCAATCAGAGCTCAGTGTGCGGAGTTTAAAGCGATCAATTCATATGACAGGAGGAGAAAGGAAATACAGTTTAAACTGCCGTTGCAGGAAAGACAGCCGGCCAAAATCACCGACTGCGTGAACGTGAAAATGAATAGAATATCACCTCCCATCTTCAGAGCAATCTGACTATTATAACATTAGCGTTAAGAAAGCTTACTTAAATATCTGCCACAACATAAGTAACCTACAGTCCGCGGCACTGTGAGTGCAGACGTACCCCATTATCATTCATATCACATGATATCACATCATAATGTATCATATATTTCCTTATCTGAGTCAGCTTCCTGAGCCGTATCTGGCGTGCAACACTCACAGTGTCACACTGTATGCAGAAGTATTATTTTAAGCAACACATTAAGTTGACGAAACACTCGAGTCAAATGTAATTAAAGTCAGATCCACTCGTGTCTTGGACGGGGCAGCAGTGATATCATAAAACTGTTAATGAACGTATTCAAACACTTTTTCTTTTACCAGCAGTATTCACCTTGCAGCTGCAACTATGTGGCTTTTATCCTGGATAAAGTGTTTAAGTCATGGATGTTTAAAGTTTAACGTCTTCATATTTGTCTAATATTAGTTGACTTTTCATTCAGGAAATATATGACGCGCTGCGCTGTCAGTACACGGCTTGTCCATGTTTGTGATTGGTCGAATGCTCCAAATACCACCCCTTTTATGTGAACGCGCACCTAACTAGATAGGACACGGCTGGCTTGCGGTCGAGGTGATAGCCAGCGTCGTAGGACAGTTTAGCGAGAGCGTTTTTTTTTTTTGGATTTAGTCAGCCGGATAACTCAAAACATATCCAGGATATGTTGAACTAGATTCGTAGTATATCCCCCTGTACTACGAAGCTGGATTTTCGCTTAGCCGGCTGACTTCAGGGAAAACTCGGGCTTTCCGGTCCTACGACGCTGGTTCTCTTTTTAGCGGGCTAGATCTCCATGGTAACTTATGCTGAGCGGCTAACCTCCTCGGGAGGAGGTTAGGTTGCAGGCTAAGAGATCAACTCAGTGAAAGCACCGCCTGCTGACCAATCAGAGCTCCGTGTGCGGAGTTTAAAGCTATCAAGTCATATTACAGGATAGAGGATACAGAAAAACTGCCGTTGCAGGAAAGACGGCCGACAAAAATCAACTGACTGTGTGAACGTGAAAATTAATAGAATATCCCCTCCCATCTTCAGAGCAATCTGACTATTATAACATTAGCGTTAAGAAAGCTTACTTAAATATCTGCCACAACATAAGTAACCGGATCAGAGTAACATTAAGTACAGTCCGCGGCACTGTGAGTGCAGACGTCGATGTGTCCCATTATCATTCATATCATATCACATCATAATGTATCATATATTTCCTTATTTGAGTCAGCTTCTTGAGCCGTATCTGGCCGTGCAACACTCACAGTGTCACATACTGTATGCAGAAGTATTATTTTAAGCAACACATTAAGTTGATGAAACACTCGAGTCAAATGTAATTAAAGTCAGATCCACTCGTGTCTTAACGGGGCAGTGATATCATAAACCTGTTAATGTACGCATTCAAACGCTTTTTCTTTTACCAGCTGTATTCACCTTGCAGGTGCAGCTATGTGGCTTTTATCCTGGATAAAGTGTTTAAGTCATGGATGTTTAAAGTTTAACTTCTTCATATTTGACTAATATTAAAGTTCACTTTTCATTCAGGAAGTATGACGCTGCGCTGTCAGTGCGCTTGTCCATGTTTGTGATTGGTCGAATGCTCCAAATACCACCCCTTTCATGTGAACGCGCACCTAACTAGATAGGACACGGCTGGCTTGAGCGATCCACTTGATAACCAGCGTCGTAGTACAGTTTAGCCAGAGCGCGTATGTTTTGGATTGGGCCAACCGGCTAACTCAAACATATCCAGGTTAGGAAAATCCGGCTTCGTAGTACAGGCCTCAGGAGGCATTGGATTAACGTGATTAACAACATATTTTAAAGGCATATTTTACAAAACACTATCTTGTTAATGAAATGATAAAAAGATAAAAAATACAAATGCAAACAACATCATCAGTTATTTCCAGTGTTTGGAATCATCAATGGTCGATGCTTGAATTTCTGTCCACTATTATATAAACATCAACATCCTTGATAGGTATAAAATACTTACACACCAAATAAAACCTGAACTTGGTAAGGAAAATGTCATAAATAATATGATAAGAGCGTACAGCACAGAGTAGCCGTAATATCAGCATTGTCCATGGAAGAAGGCCTCCTTCAGACTGTCCAGTGCCTCCTCCTCAGTTATCTCCTTCCACTCATCAGAAATATCTGCTGGTTCCTGATTGTATTCCTTTGCAAAGCTCTCATTGAACCTTGCCCACACATACCTGTAAATTATGGAATATTTAGCTCAGCTCATTTAAAAAAACAATCTAAAACATTTATATTTTATGGTGAAAAGCATGCAAATAAAGAAAAAGTACTTATGTTATTTTAAACGTTAATAAACATCATAGTACCTCCAATAAGCACATGGCATCTCAGTGTTTGGGTCCCCATGGGAGATGCTCCAGTCTGGGTGGAGGGAATGGAGGCTGCTGCATGCTACAGACAGGTCTTGTTTGTCCTTACTCATGCCTGGGTTTCCCTCTGTCATACCTGAGTCATGGGGCAACATGTCTTTGGGCCTGTGGAGCAGAGCCTTGTGAAGCTCATGCCCCTCTTGCAGCTCACAGGGGGCTCTGCAGAGAGGACAGTGCTGGTCACAGCCTCTTACTCTTTCAAACAAGGCCTCTTGGGGCTGAATTATAGGGCACTGAAGAAGTTGGGTGATCTCAACATTTTGAGAGAACTCCTGGGCTAGTTCCAATCTCATTGCAGCCAGTAACTCCATTAGACATGTGACAAAGCGATCCCATTCCGTGGTGATACTGAAGAAAGGTCCGTCCAAACAGGACCTGGCCTTGACATCAACATCTCCATCTTTCTCTACAATGAGGCAAACTCTCTCCAGTAGCGGCTTTGTATCACTAAGTACTCCACTGGCACCTTCTGCCGTTTGGCTCACTGCTGCCGCTATCTTCCCTACAATTTCCCCAAGTCTCTGTTGCCTCCATATACCAAAGTTGGATGATTCAGAGAGATGAGCCACCACCGTCTCCTGGATCTTCCTCACTCTGAATTTGTCATAGTCAAGCAAATATTCCTTGAAGCTTTCAAAATGATCCTCCTTCACTAGCTCTTCCATTAAGCTTTGATGAAAGGAACATGGGGACTGATACTGCTGGGCTTTATCTTGGATATCTTTAACCATTTGCATTCCCAGTGGTCTATAAATATAGTCTAACACTGTAGGTTTGACAACCATGGAGGTAAATGCTTGAGCCACCCTCTGGCACTGATCTCTCTTCCTGAACTTGTAGATGAAATCTGACATGTACTTACTCTTGGTTGCAGTAATAGTTGTCAAAAGCACGCTGTCCTTGGCATAGCGGTCATGTCGTTTTTGGAAGTCTTGGCATGCAGCGCCACAGAGATAAACTTTCAGATCCACTTCAAACGCTGATCTGATTTCCATAGATTTGTCTTTCAAGGCTTTTTCAACATTTTCCAACAGTTCTGCAATATAGCTGTCAGAGAAATCTGCTGCTAAACTAGACTTATCTGCTACAAACTGATTGTATTCTTCTGTGACGTTGCATGCTACCTGTTGAGCTTCTATCCTCTGCAGTCTGTTGTTGTCTTCAAACATGTGCTTTAATCTGCTGCGGTATCCAAAGTGCTCATCATTAACTTGGAAGCCCGATGCTTGGTTTTTGCCGATAACTTCAAGTTTGTTCATGTGTTTCTGGAGACCACAGCGAATTAAATTATGTTTCAAAACATCGGTCACTCTTGCAGTAATATCATCTGTTTCTGATGGCCTAAAGTCAAAGTTGGACAACGTCTTACTCCACACATCCTCAAACTCCTCTTCTAGTTCTGTATCTTGAAGGAGAACTTTAGATGACTTGCTGTTCTCTACGAGTGCATGCAGTTTAGATTCCTGTTCTTTTTCCAGTGAGTTCTCAAACCTTTCCAACTGTGTCAAAGAACAATGGCTTTCGTTGACTGTCCCCAACCTTTGCACCATCTCTTCAGTTACTTCCTCCTGAAGGTGATCCATATTGCTCATTAGGATTGGCTTGAAAGTGTTCATTTCGAGAACGTTGTCTTTCATCAAATAGGCGTCTGCTTTTGATCTAAGCTTGTCTATCTCTGTTTTGACTTCCTCTCTGGCTTCATCGTTCAGCTTGTTCAAAAGGCTATTTTGGATTTCAGCCTCTAGAGCCTTTGCCTTTGTGTCGAAGATTTTCTCTGTTGCCCCCTTAAGCCAGCTCTCCATGTGTTCCAGGCAACTATGCTCCCACTGGAAAAACTCGGTGCACAGTAAACAGAAGGCTAAAGCTATGTCAGTATTTTGCAGACCAGTGGAGAATGATTCTGCTTTCACTGCATCCCAAACCGCACACAAACGACTCATTAATTCAGGCAGACCAGTGGCTTCAGACTTAGCTGCACACTTCTTCAACGCCCCAAACAGGTTTTGCTTAAGCTTTAATATAGTCTCACTCAGTGGCGTTTCTATGTGTACAAAACTGGGGGGGCAGAGAGAGGTGGGGGGAGAGAGAGAGAGGTGGGGGGAGAGAGAGAGGGGGGGGGGACAGAGAGAAAGAGGGGGGAGAGAGAGAGGGGGGGGACAGAGAGAGGTGGGGGGGGAGAGAGAGAGAGGGGGGGACAGAGAGAGGTGGGGGGGAGAGAGAGAGAGAGAGGGGGGGAGAGAGAGGGGGGGAGAGGGGGAGTGTCAAATTACATACTGAAGACCACACGGAGCAACACTGTCAGCGCATACATTTACGTACACTGTGTACGTAAATGTACGGTACACAGCGTGGGGATGTCATATTGTAATGCACCTTAATACATAAGTAAAGGGCACCATCACAAAGCAATTCTTAACAACAACAACAACCACCATAATGCTTTAGCATTAAAACACCATAGACTGTAAATATAAGGAAAACACAGACACTCATCACCGAGGTCACAATATCAATCGATCCAGCAGAGGCAAAACACAGAAGATCAACAAAATATATGACATAAATAATAAATTGCGTAAGGCGCCGTGCTGGTGGCTGCCTGTTGCATGCAGCTCCCGGTGTTTTATTGATCTTTGTCTTTTTGTTTACTTTTATTCTCTTAGTTGTACTTTTTTCTTTATATTTTATTTTATATTTTATTTTATTTTATTTCTATTCTTGTATATTTTGTTTTATTGTAAAATGCCTTTTATGCTGCTGTAACAAAAACAATTTCCCAATTTGGGATCAATAAAGTACGATCTATCTATCTATCTATCTAAATGAACTTACCAAAGCTGAAGGCTCACTTGAAAAGAAAAGCGGCACGGCGGTCCTTCCTCTGACAGAATGTTTCTATCACTTTGGGGATGAAGTCCTGTAGTTGCTGGATCAACTGGCTTTCAATTGAAAGCATGGCCAATGCGTTAAGTCGCAGCTGTCCCATGGTGTTGCGAGTGAAAGTCTTTATCCTTTTGAGGGTGGAAAAGTTCCTCTCTGACTCGGATGTCGTCATCGGAGTTGTTACTATTATTTTGACCAAAATAACAGTCTCAGCAAACGTATCCTCCAAGTTGTTCTCGTGAATGGATTTCAACAGAGACAGGGCAGTGTTTCCAGTGTGAAGTTCACTGTGGCGGTAGAGCGTGGTCAGCTCAGACTTCAACTTCTCCTTGTTTCCCAAAGCAGGCCACAATTTCACTGCGCAGTCAAGCTCAGGTGTAGGAAATGACAGGACATGCTGTGGGAAGAATGAGCTGTCAACGAGCTTTGCAGCGATCAAATGGTCACTCTGTGAGAACCTCTGTTCCACCTGTGAGATGACTGTGTCACATGCCTCCTTCATTACCGGCGCTGTGCTGCTGACTCGTCAGCCTGGCTCGTCTGTTCCATCATGAGTGGTGGCGGCCAATGCATCAGTTTGCTGCCTCATTTTCTGGACATTTTCCTTGAAGCGGCAGAGCGCGCTGTTGATCCCAGGTGCATCGATGCTTCGTTTTTGCAGAGTGTTGTATAAAACATCCACTTCTGGCATAAGCAACGAAAAAAACTCCAGGAGCTGCATAAATGCTCGGTCCCGCAGTTTCTTTGACAGGCCGTATGCCTCACTTATGGTGACCGCATCCCACCCTGGTTGTGTGCGTATATGGTCCATACACTGAAGAAGTGCTTCTCGGGTCTCCCAAACCGCGTTCACAGTTCTGCTTTTAAAGTTCCATCTCACAGCCGGTGGCCGTGGTATGCGTCTCTGTGTTGCCTCTGCAAGAGCTGCAACACGTTTTGGAGCACCGGAGAAAAAAGTGGAAAAAGCAGTTAGATCTGCAAAAAACACCTTCAGGATGCTCATCCTTGCTGAACACAGTTGCTGCAGGGTCAGGTTCAGTTGGTGGGCGTAGCAGTGAACAAACTGAGCGTTTGGGTACGTCTCCTTCATGACCGTCTGTACCCCGCGCACGTTACCGCTCATGACGGCCGCCCCGTCATAGGTCTGAGCGATTAGCTTTTCTTTCAGCTTCAGGGGTTCAAGAACAGCCTTGATGCTGTTAGAGAGACCTACACCAGTTTTGTCCTTTACTTCCACAAACTCCAAAAAACGCTCTGTAACTGTGAGGTCAGGCATAATGTATCGCAGCACAATCACCATTTGCGATTTACATGAGACATCGGTTGTCTCGTCGGCCTGAACGGCAACAAATGATGTGTTGTCCACTTGCTTGGATATTTCCTCCCTGTACACATCATACATGCAGTCCAAGAGTTCATTCTGTATGGTGCTTGATGTCCCTTTGAAAACGGGCTGAGCTTCGTAGTGCCGTCGAAGCCTGGAATCGCCCTCACACATTGTCTCGAAAATTGACCTGAATATCCCTGGATTCAGAGAGTCCGCCGACTCGTCGTGGCCCCGCAGTGCTGTCTCACATTTCCCACACAGTTTAATACAGGTGATGATCCGACCCAACACGTACCTGTTTTCTTCCACCTTTCTATTATGATCATCAATGCCGCGTCTGTAGGCGCTGTCAATCTGAGCTGCAACATTCACCCTTCCCAGTAATCCCAATTTTACGGCATTTTCCAAGTGACTGTTGCTGCTCTCATGCTTCATTGTCCTCTCCGAAAGATGCTTTAAGTCCTTGTAACCTGTCCTCGACCAAGTACCTTGATCTTCACCAAAAAGCAGGCAAGGAAAGCAAAAGAGGGAATTCTTCTGGATGCTCGCCGTTAGCCATTTCTTTTTAGCAAACCACTCAGCATTAAACCCGCAGTTCACTTTGCCCGCAGTCTGGACCATTTGGAAATCCGGTGGATGGTGGGCACCGAGGCGCTTTACCTCCAGTTTCTCTCCGAGACTAAGTGTCTCAAATGTGTGCTCCAGTAAATGGTCAACTTCATTCATTTTCTTTCCGTTTTTTACTTATTTTTAATCGCTGGTGATGTTAGCTATATGCTGCTCTCTCGTCTTCTCTTCACACTACACGTGACGTTTCGCAGCACTGCACACGTGACATATTTACAGCCAATCAGTTCTGAATAATGTGAGCTGACGTATGGTGGGGATGGCAGCTCTGTGCCCCTTTGGCCTTTTTTTTTTTGCCACACACATTCCATTGAAAAATACTCTGAGCATGCGCAGTGTAGTTTTTACAGTCACCGTTCACTTAAACAGTGAGAGGGAGGGGCAGAATCAGGTTTTGTCCCACATGGCTCAAAACGGCACTGTAGACACTAATTAGAAGAACACAGACTAAAACAGCAATGTACAGACGAATCAGATGATTAAACATGACCTTAAAATATATTTTATATATTTTTTTATTTCTTTTTTTGCATCTTTTTGCATTTTTTGTTTTCATTATGTGTAATACTTTCTGCTGACACTAGGTGGGGCTTCGCCCCACCTGCCCCTAATGACCAGTCGCCACTGGTCTCACTATACTGTGTGTCAATTGGTTGAGAAAGGGACATATTGCACCAAGGCCCTTTGACACAGGTGATACAGCTTTTGGTCTTTGCATAATGGTCATCAGCATTGCTAGTTCCTCTGTCCCTACTCTCAGTCTGTAGCATATCTGATACACGTCTTAACTGTGATGCTTGTAATAAGCAGTTTATTCCTTCATCTTGGGCCAGGAGTTGGCAAATGGGCATGGAACTACATTCTTTGATGCGTAGGAGAGCATTGACTGTGACAGTGAGGTAAGTTTCATACTCAGTACCCACGTGTGAAGAGATGTTCTGCAATAAAACATCACTCAAGCCTGCGGCAACAGTGGCCATCTCTGCCTATCAGGCAGACACAGGGCAGCCATGTATAACCCTTTAGTGGATCTTTTCCTTCCTTTAGGACATTTTGCCCCAAATAATTCAGAAAGAAGCTCAGCATTCCTAGCATGATGTACTCCAAGATTTGTCAGCACTCGGGTCCTGCACTGTTTTTGAGGTAGGCGGAGTTTGAGCTCTGCAAAGACACATGCCAGCCAGCGCATTGGGATGTTTGAGGCATTTCCATCCATCAGTTCAAGTGGAATCCCATATAGAAGAAGGTCTGTAGCTAAACTAGGGAGACGCAACACATTGTGGCTCCCACTCCCGGGACTGATGTGTGTTAGTTCAAAAAGTAAGCCCATCTCACGCAGAAAATGCTCAAGTCCAAGCGAGGACTGATCAGGCTCCAAAAGCTGTTGACATGAGTCTGTAGGATGTTCAAAGGAAACGTCTCTGCCTGGATCTTTTGTTGACTCAACATGTTCTTTCTGTTGTGACTGTAGCTCTATGGTTTTTTCTGCAGATGTTTGCAAAATGTGTACTAACCCTTGGCTTATCTCCACCTGTTGCTCAGAATCTTGCAATTCATGATTCATGAGCTGCTCTTCAGTGTTATCTTCCTCAGGTGTCGAATCTGTGCAGAAACTATCACTTTCCCCTGTGTCATAATTGACTCCATTTTGGAGGTTATCACAGTGTTCTGGCAGGCCATCTTTTTTTTCTGTCTTCAGCTTTGTAAATAGATCTTGTGGACTGTTTTGTTTTTCCATTTGATTAAGACGAAGCCTCAGCTTCATCCAACTAAGGAAATAGGTCCTCTCCACTTTATCTGTTGCTGAAAGCGCGCCGGTGAAAATCTTCATTGCTGAGGTCATTTTGTAGCAGCTCAACTCTACCAAGATGTCTTTCTTTTCTTTTTGCAGTTGTTCGTCAATTTCTTTTCCTTCATTTCTTTGCTTACTTTCCTCCTTTTCCATTTCAGCAAGTTTGCTCCACACAGACCCCTGCAATGGAAGCTGTTTGTCCCTAAATTGAGCAGATCCCTCATCTAAACCTTGCAATACGTTCTCCACTGTAGCCATTGCCTTTTTGCAGACTGCCCCTTCGTCTACATTTAGGCCTAGCTCCTCTGCTAATTTTGCTGCTGCCTCAAGTGTCACAAGTTTCAATTAATCTGGTAACAGATCTTTCAAGGACCCACACAGCATGTTAGCCAGTTCCTCTTCACTCAAATCCCTACCTTGTACCACTGATCCTCCAGGAAGCTCCATGTATTCTTCAAGGTTCTGACCAGCAAACCCCACGACCCTGTTGTCATTGTTCTCAGCATCTGATAGGTCAATCAATATGAGCTTGTGTGCCATATACTTGCAAGATGCAAGAACTTGTTTTTCTTTCTCCCGAAGATTCCCACAGAAAACCACCACGGCTGAAGACGCTTGACATAGAAGGCTGAGGCATTTTTCATGTTTACTGGCATCACCACGGAAGTTAGAGATGACCACAGGGACAGGGAAAATGTCTCTGACAGGGTCACCCGGAGGTAGATACCATCCAATCTCAACCAGGCCATTTGAGAGTCTTCGGGGAAGCTGTCCTCCATCTATCCCCCTGTGGAGAAATGTGTCACAGGAAGATCCGAGTCCACCTATTACATTGTTTAGCACCTGTGACTTAGAGACACCACTGTGACCAAGCCTCACACAAGAAACTACTGGCATGTATGTACTCGCCAAATCCCCCCCATAGATCTTTCTGTTATTTTCCGGAAAGTGCGACCTCCATTGAGTAACAGCACCTCTCAAAGGCCAAAGAAGGAAGCGACTGGCTTCTTCTGGATCTTTATTTGGAAGGACCAGGGGCGCAGCAAACTGGCATTGTAACATACGCACAGTCATCTCCTGCTGAAGAAAAGTGTTAGCAGACATAAAGACAGCTGTTACTAGATCAAGGGGGTTGACGGCACACTGGCTTTCTTCTTTAAAACCATTTCTAATTTCCTCAGGTGAATTGTTGGAATTGTTCAAAACATCATGCAGAGGTTTGCAGCAAGGACTCCGGGCATCTTGGCTAAACAGCCACAAGCGTTGTAGAAAGGCATTTGGTAGATCCTTGGGCTCAAGAGGGGCCTGTTTCTCCAGAGTCCAAGTGCTGATGTCCAACAGAGACGCTGGGTCCAGTGGTGTAGTCAAGAAGGCCTCTAGTCCCAGGGTATTGAGAACCTCTGCCTGGGCATTGTCCTTTGGAGGTTCTGGTTAACAAAATATTCAATAATTTAGCCTTTGGATGTGCTACATTTTAAAATTGCAAATGGATTTATCCAGTTAAATGTGGAATAAAATGTAATATGATCAGAACCGAAATCCAATCCAAGTCTTTATTTGAGCTTGAAGTGGTACAAATGTTTTAGTTAAACTTTGTAAAATACTCAGAAAAGCTTAATTATTTATACTTCGCTGATGATTCTTCATACTTCAAAGTTTTTTTGTGTTTATTGAAAATGTGAAAAAAAAGATTATTACTATTTAGTTCATGTGTGATGCATGTCTTTGAATATAAACATCTACTGATTTCTTATTAATTCTTAATCTGTACACAAGCTTTCAGCTGTTGACTGTGACTAATTTTGATCAAGTTACGAGACACTTTGATTCTTTTTAAAACATAAAATAACCTAACGATACTTGATCTATTAATGTTTCTATTGCAAAAATAAAAACACTGTTATATATAATTAAAAACATTAAACAGTTAGAAACAAAAAAGGCACATTATCCCCGTAGATACCTAATCATTACATATTATCTTAGAATTTCAGCTCACCTGCAAACAAAACAACAAGTTTCCCTTCAACACTCTACCCCGCAGTGCCATAAACACCCACATTTACTTCACTTGCTGCCTCCAACCCCAATTATTATAAATGGGTAAACACATTAAAGCATTCAGCAATGTTGTTCTTTATCCAAGAACATCCCACCTCCTGGCCTGCAGGTGTAACCTCATGTTGTGTGAGCAGTCACAGGAGGAAGCTGTACTGGTCTGCCAACATTTATTTTTTTGTCTTCCTAAATGACATGAACAGAACTTCCGAAATACATTTTGATAGCTAACCATTTGGCCTCACGTTTGTTGTGCACATATTTAGCATTATAACCCAAAGCATACATTTCAACAATAAATACACATATGTGGAATAGCTGACGTTTAGCGGAAACACAGTCAGTTTTGGCTAACGTCCCTTATAGGTGCCATTGATATGTCTGGAGAACTACATGCCTTATTTATGATCAAAACAGGGCAAAAACAGATATGTACTGTCAGCTAAGGTAGTTATTGTTACATTTGACGGCATCATACGCTACTTCCGAACAAGACAAATATTGAGAAAGCAATTATTTGTATCACTTATTTATACTTGTCAGCCTCCATTCAAAATGGTATATAGATGTTTTTAACTGTGTTTTATGAATGAAGTTAAAGAATTCACAGAATATTTTGGTACGTTTAAAAAGAAAAGTCCTCAATATGAACCACATTTCTTTCCTACCACAAACCCTGAATAACAAAAAAAGGACTTACTTTTCTTTTTGATGCTCGGCAGCTTTGGAGACTTGACTGACATGATAAATCCAGCTGAGTTCCCCCCTCTTCGTTATAAATGACTTTTCCTTCTCTGGTCAGCCACATCACCAACAATGTGTGGTGTTGACTGGAAACCTGTCATTAAAATGTAAAACATAAACATTACTGGCATACAAAAGACAGCACAACACAGACAAAAGTACCTGCCAATCCTCTTTGGCCTAATACTGATACCAAATGTGAATGTGAAAACTGATGTTGTCTTACTTACAATAGATAAGACATTGTTGAAGCCTGCTGTCTCAGAGGACTGCTCATTGTAGAAATAACGTAGGAGGCTGGTTTGTCCACACTTTTATCGTCCTGAAATGCTTCACTGAAGCAAAACTCTCCTCCTTGTTTCAGTTTTATTTTCACTGTAATAAAGCTGGAGACAAGATGGAATTAATATGATATTGTGATATAATGGCCACCCTCAAGATCAGGAGACTGTTGGTAAGATAAAGCACACCAGTGAAAGCTCAACATACATACATACATACAACATTTACCTTGATTTTGAGATTGGCTGTTTTCCAAAGATAAGCGGTGGCTATGAATTATTGCTGGAATGTAGTTTTACTGTATGCAGCTGTATGTAATAAAGGTGCCATTTCATAAATCTCACCTGAGAACACATCTGGTTAGCATCTAGTCATCATTCATGACACTCATAAACCAAACATTTTACTTCAATATAAACATACAGTATTATCAGTAAGGTATGCTTAAAGTATGAACAGAGACAATTGTGTTTACTGTATGCAGTAAAATGGCCCCTGTGATTATTAAATAGTAGAATATTAGATTTTCACTAATGATGCAGCACTTTATTCATTGTTTGGACATGGCTCTTGGCTTTTTATGAAATACTGGATCATTTTACCACTTTGCTCCTCAAATTGTTAGTTAAAATAAAACCGTATGAGAAATTCAATGGCCAAATGTTTCTTTGGTGCAACTGCTAACATGCAGACATCTGAAGTGTGTAAGCATTGATTTCATCTTTAATGCATTGTATGACATTATGATCTAACAGCAGTCAGATGGATGTATCAATGTTAGAGCAAAATATATATTTTATTTTATTTCTGAAATGCCAGAAAAGTATAACGCAGCATAAAATGAAAAAGTAAAAACTAGCAAAAGATTATACTTCAGAATGTTTTTTGCGAAAATGTAGTTACTGTAATTCTTCTTCACCTAGGACTGCATTTTTGGGTTTTAAGTGATGTGCATAATATAAACATACACTGTAAAAACTGTTTCTTTGGTAAAACTTAAAAAATATGTGTCAAGCGATTCCAAGCAATTTTAAGAGTTTAGTCAACTTTTGCAATTTTTGAGTTGGTGAAATGTACTTTTTTTAGTTTTCCTCTACTCAAGAATGTGTTACTTTGCTAAAACTTAAAAAATATGTGTCAAGTGGTTCCAAGCAATTATAGGAGTAGGGTAAACTCACTAATGTGATTGTTTCTGCATATGAAAAGATGAGATGAGCCTACAATTAAAAGCCCAGATATTAAGTGTAACCAATGCAAATAACAATCTGCTAAGAACCACACGAGAATAAAGTAAATTATAAAACACAATTGAGTTGCCGGAACCTATATACGACAAACTCTTGCTGATTTCAATCCAACCCTTTAAATATTTGATAGCATTGAAACCTTGCAGATTAAACAAATAAATTAAAAAAGGGAACATTATGGACATGTTAATACATTTTATTAAAATGTGATTATTTCAAAACAGTTGTCATAAAAGAGTAACAAGTTTATTTAAAATACATTAACATATATGGAGACACATGGTTATTACTTGATGGTTATAACTGCATCTGGCTCTTGGGCAACGTATCACTTCATGCTGTGCATCACGAGCCTGTTGCACTTCGACCTCTGCTGTTCCCTGTAAATACAAATAAAACACTAAATTGAGTACAAATCAGGACACACCATGTGTTTTCCTCAAAACAAAAATCAAATCCGTCTTGAAAACATAACGATCCAGTTTACATTAGCTGTTAACAGACGGTAACAGAGGTGCTATTCACATGCATTACAAGGGGTTTAAGCCATCAAAAAAAGGCTGGTTTGCAAGAAAATGAACCAAATAGTCATGATATTGATATAGTTCATAAAATGTCCAACTACTTCTTTTTAACACCACCTCATGCTCAGAGATGTATATAAAGTGGCACATGGGTCCTAGAATAAAAAGAACAGACGATTATTTCAACTTTTATCTTGATAAGTGAGAGCGCATGCCAGTCTACATGAATGCAGGGCAAGGCACGTTTCTGTCCAAAGGTTCCATGATGGAGTCGATAATGTTTTAAAATATCACTTTGAGTGGTGACACTAGTGCTGCATAGTTTACATCTCCATCCCATCTGTGATTCAAAAAATAGAAATGGGTACGTTTACCTGATGCTCATTATATTAGTATGTAAACATAACACGTCTTGAATTAACCTCTGAAACAACAACTCTGACACACTCAAGGGCTTACCTAATGTGAACCTGAAGTCCATAGCAGGAGGCAAAATGTCTTCAAGAGGAGGTGTGACTGTTGTCTGGTGAGGCAAATGAAAGAACAAAATAGTTACATGATGACAATGTAACAATCATTTCAGTAGAATTCATTAAAACATATTTAATTCAATTAATGGAATCAAACATTAAAACACAAGTATCATTTAAAACGGTATTGTATTTATATACATTTATAAGGATGGCATTGTTAGATACCAGTACAATTCCATGATTCTCTACACAGCAGATCCTAATTACTTCAATATACACTCCTTTATCTCGTTTGCATACTGTCTATTATCTACTTTATGTTGTAGTAAAACATCTCCTTAATAAAACTGTATTTATTGATATTTCTCGCTAAAGACTGCATTTTACTGTACTACTTTGAACACATCTTGCTGACGTTATACATGCCTCGTCGCCCAATACACACTTTTACTGAATTGCGCCTGAATGCACCTTAACTGAAATCACCTCCGTCACTTTCTACTGAGAGCTAACGTTAACTCTCCTGCAGATTCCAACATGGATAGCGTTGCATAAGCATGAAAAATATAGTTTGCACTTAATTTTGTATAATAACAACTCGATGCTGTAACTGCAGACTATGAGTTTAAATTGGGTACACTAAGATTGTTGAAAGATAATTCATTGCTCACAGTAAAACAAACGGCGAAATACATATAGAGGAATTAATATCAAATAGGCGCATTAGTAACTTACTCTTACATAACCGCTGGGTTATAAAGTAGTAGGGAATAGTTTTAACGGAGGTATTTTACCGCACAACATGCACGGCAGGAGAGCCTCTGAGCCCCGCGGCCCCATCACCGTGCCCGGGCCAACGCTTACAGCGGCATAGGGGAACAGTTTGCGGAGTTGATTCTTAATACGTACTTAACCACTTTTAACAGAATTGCGTCGGTAAGCACTTGATGCAAACTTTGCCCAACAACTTTGCGTGAAGAAATAGACTACATGAGCACGACAGGGCTGAGTCTAACTTTAACAGCAGTAATGGCGCTGACATGCATTAAAATGTCGATGTTTCGTTCAAAACAGTGAATACAAGAAAAGTAAATAACACTTTCTAGTTAAAAAGCAGTAATTAATAACTCAGGTGGCATGCTTACTTGTTTTACTATGGTTTGAGGAGGATCCAACGCAAACACGTGTCCAACTGCTGAAGAACCACTGCAAACTTAAGAGGAACAGGAAGTCTCACACCGCGGTATTCTCGTTTGAGGGCGTGGCATGACCGTGGCGTTGAAAAAAGCATTTTTATTACGTTTTCCAAAACGTCTTTTTAAAGAAAGTTCAGAAAATGTGATATTAATTTACAAATGAATGAGTTCTTAAAACATGTTCTCATTGTTGCTTACGTGTTACTTATTTAAACGCACATTGAAAAAAAAACTAATTTAGGGCAAGTAAATTACATAAAAAAATTGAGTTTTGTTGACTTCACCATATAAAGTGGTTGGTTTTACTACCTTTCTACACATAAAATATATTTTTACATGCTAAAAGTATATTTCGATGTATAATTCCTCAAAAAAGACAAAAAGACTAACGCACAGGGTTCATACACTTTTTCACCAATGATTTTCAATGACTTCTCCATGACCTTTACCTCATTTTCCATGACCAAAGAAATTACTCTTTCTCAGCGGTACCACTGAAACATTTTTATTTTAACATGGTAAGCTGGAAGATAAGGTCTGCATATGAAACATGTTGTGCCAGTCAAATAGTAGGCTTACTAGCTCCTACAGACTAGCCACTGTAGACTACAGGGCGTGATTGTAAAACTCTCACCAGCAAAATACCTCGACAGTTAAATGCCATTTTACGTTTCATTACTATACGATACAGTATTTATTATCATTATAGTATTACTATTTCGGCGATTAGATAAAATATAAATTATATTTTATGCAACTTTGGTTACATTTCCATGACTTTTCCAAAACTTTGGGAAACCTATTGTTTTCCATAACTTTTCCAGGACCTGGAATTAGCATTTTGAATTTCCATGACTTTTCCAGGTTTTCAATGACGGTAGGAACCCTGAACGCAGATATTCCAATATCTCTGAAACATTGCCTGTGTCTTTTGGTAGAATTTCTTCTTAAATAATTTTGTTCTTACCTATCTCTCCTCATACAATTGCTTGGCAAATAAGTATCCTTCACATGTTGTGTATCACCACCGCTGTTGTGGTGTTTTTCTTTCAGGAGAGCTCTTATACCTGTGTTGTCAGTGACGAGACACATTCCTGTACTTTTATCCAATCTTAAACAACAGGATGAACATCAGTCACATGCACACGTTGACAAAAGTAAACAAGTGTCATTAATCATGGTTAAAATGACTTGACATGACAGTCTTGATGATACTCAGATAACAGTAGGCAGTGTCTTTTTTTCACTCAGACACCTGTCTAAAGTGCTATCATTGGTCGGAGGTTAGGCTCTACACAATGACGCACAAAAGACCTCAGTGATCTTTCAGATATAGGTTTATCTGATTACTGAAACCGTATTCTCCTTGCTATAACCCTTCACTTTTATCTTTGAGACATTTTCTTAGAAACCCTTGTGGAAAAACAGTTTTCATTCTGTTAAAATGTGTTTACATTTCAAGATAATAAGGTCACAACTAGGTCGCTCCAGATGTGTTTGTGCTAATGGATCTCAACTGATCTATAAAGCATGATTAAAACGTTTTCTAAATACCTTCATTAATTACAATTTGTAAACACTTCCTCAGTAGCGCCTTTTTAGATAGTGACTGACCCTACAGTATATGTCAACAGGTCAACTTGTTTGACAACTCCCTCCTGATTCACGTCAGTGCAGCAAAAGTCAGCATGCAGCACATTTGACAATGAAGAAGAATACAATCTTTCCAAATCAAATTATCTCTAAGCGGTATCCTCTTGTTTTAATCCAACATGGGATTTAAATAAATACAAATAAAACATGATCTGTGTCTTCTGCTGGAGAGGGGAAAGCACACCTGAGGGATAAGTGTTGTTCAAAGGAAAAGATTACCTCTTCTCTAGACTCTATTTCAGTCCTGCAAAGCTCTTTAGCAGTCTTACCACAGAGACAGTGACAATGAAGTGTGTTCGCAGGTCGATGTATGTGTTTGAGCACTGTGCGTCCGACCGTCCTTCCTGAGCAGCCCTGCATTGCATTCCTGATTGCTCGGATCTGTTTCTTCAGCTGGACTGAGGACATTTATCAAAAACGGAGGAAAACATTAAGGATTAATAGAGAAACTAAAGGAATAGTGGTCAAGATGTTGGTCACCATGCTAACAGCCATGTATTTGGTGGTCAAAGTCGTAGAGTCGGTAAGATGATTATAATGATGGATAGAAGTAGAAACACAATTGATTATTGTTCTGTGAAATTTGATTTAATATTTATAGCGTTAAGCGTATCGTTTTTTTGTGTGTATTGTTATTCAATTTAAATATATATATATATATCTATTCAAATAATCTTTTGATTTGTATTGACAAAAATACAACATATTTCAATAGAAGAATGGAAGAAATACATCATGGTTTCAGCAAAAGCGCTGTGTGCTTTTGCTGAAACCATAACATTGTAGCTTTCTCACACAGCAGGTCGTCAATATCCAATATAAATCAGGTTTATGTACAGTAGATCACAATGTGGTCAGGGAAATGTTAAAACAGATAGTGTTAAACCATAACCAGGCTTTTACTGACAGTATCCAAATATAATTAATGTGATGTTTAATCAAACCTTTAATGTTAATAAAGCATTCCTCTGCTAATTACGTAACATCTAGCCTAATACTCATGTTTCTAATACAAATATGTACCGGGTTAGCATAAAAGCAAAACAAATTCAGAAAACCAAACTCTACTGACAATTCTAATATATTTTTAATGTGGGGTGTCATGTGGGAGCATGGTAAGTTTAGTAATAACATTTGACTTTTTAATGCTTTAACTCACATCGTTTTGTTTCACTCTCAGATAGGGGAGCGGTTTGCACGGCAAGAGGACCCTTTGCCTTACATCGTGTCCCAGCCTTTGCCTTGGCAGGTTCACTCAGTGTCACACAGTCGGAGGAGCAGCAAAGCAGATGAGGTGAGTTGTAATGAGATCTGTACCCTGGTCTAATTGGCGTCCCACGCACATTGCCATGCTGATGCACCAAGGCGATTGATTCATTACAGCTAATACGACACAAGTTCACTCTGCACATGGCCCGGCAAACCCCCGTTCCAAATCTTCTCTGCTGAGTTGCTTCACTTGAGTCTTCTCAGTGTTACATATTTCAAAAGATAAAATGTGGTCATTTTAGAATGAACGGAAACCAGTAACTTTTTTTTTCATACAATTTGGATTTCCTCTGCCAGCGTGGCTGGATTTATTACTCATACAAATGACCTCTTCCTAATCCTCTGGTATCTAATGGTGAGACAGAGCATGTGGAAAGTTCAGCAGTCAAGCTTGACTCAGCATGTGAGCTTATAAGCTTGGTCACGTGTTCTGTTTGCTTATAGTTTCTCAATGGATGACTGCATTTAAAAAATATATATCAATTATTAAACAGAAATGAGTTTGTTGGGACTCGGCAGCGGCCAAATAATATTAGATTAAAATATGTGATTCAGACAGTAAAACAATAAGCTTTTGAATCATAAGTCCTTGTACATAGATCATCACTGACCATGACTTAAGTTATTTTACTTTTCCTCAGGCTTTCATTTAGATTCCTTCATCAACAAGTCAATGTCAGTCCAAACTGCTCACCTCTGATAACCTTCTTATTAGAAAAAGCCTGTGTTGTCCTGTCTGTGGACTTTTCTAAGTTTAGGATTACTGATTTGAAGGTTTACTTTTGACGTGTGTAAACTTTTATAAAGATGAAGGTGACAAATCAAAGACAAATAGTGGTAATAAGCTGGACTGCAGCAGGAAGACCATTTTTGGTGGTTAAGTAAAGGCACAAGTGCTGAGGTAGGAATGTAAAAGGGCAAATTAGCCCAAAAAATAGAGCAAGCGGACTGTTAAAGAAACAATACTGAGTCAAATAAATACTTAATTGTGTTTGTGTCTAAGACTGGCCCCGGTAAATGTACCTTAATGTCACTTGTAAAGGGATAATGTTGACCTCAATTATGAGGTCATGGAGCTCGTGTGTGGGACTGAACGCTGGCACACAGCCAGACTGACGCGTTAGCATGCTAAGCTTGTCCAGTCTTCAGCCTCTGGCTTCCCTGCCTCTGCTCTGCTTGAGCTATAATCCCAATCAAGGGGATTTGTGTTGGAGGTAATTATTCTAACCATAGATGAAAAGGACACACAAAAAGGTGCAGTCACACATGTAAGTTGCAGTCATTCTTGAAGCTCTGCACATTTTGTACAGCTGAGTTGAAGAATTTTGCAAAAGCGATTGTGTGACTATCTGGTTTCATGTGTTGGATTTAGTACCGTCAGTGGTATGTGAACAATGTTTCATCATCCAAGCTCCAGATAAGATCGTAACATTGATAATTGTCATACCTGACCAGTATCAACTCATCTTGTGCCTGTGTGAGTCACTGAGTGTCTTCTAATTCACAGATGTTCTGTTTCATTCACAGTTTGATGGCTACAGGAGGAACAGCATAGGCGTGTATAGAAAGAGTAAGTACAACTGTTTATTTAAAGGCAGGCAACTTTTCTGTCATATTAATTCATCTTAAATTACTGAATTCAAATCAAATGTCAAATCTGAGTGAGTAAAAACATAAACCAGAAAACTTGCCCACTTAAAAAAATATGTTTCGACTTCATCACTGCTGCAGACTCTTCCTCCATGGCTATTGCTTCAGCCTCTCTGGCTATCCTGTCGTGCTCAGGCTCCAAGGCCAGCAATGGGACCGCTGCTCCCCCACTCAGCCCGGTGGAGGTGGAGAAGGCCGCCGCCACCATCCAGACCCATTACAGGAAGTTTCAGCAGAAGAAACAGAAGAACGGCAAGTAGGCGGACAAAGAGGGATGGAGGTACCGATGCAGCAGCCTGGGAGACAACAGGAAGCAGGTGGGAGGAATCCCGATTCACCAAACAACGGATGAACTCTGTGACTGTGACTACATACAAATGCACACATATTCATACTGTACAATATACATTTAGGGGAGCTTTTGAATTAGTAAGACACTGTGCAGAATAAAATAACAGTAGTAGTTTCTTTCTCCAACAACTGGAAAGATTTTAAATTCTATGTGAATGATTTGTTGTATATATTACTAAATCTGAATGAATGTTAGTTTTGTGCTCTGAATACTGAGTGACTGTGTGTGTGACTGTGAATGCTGTTAATAAATATAACCAATGTTATATCCAATATATCAATATTGAGAGGAACACATATTATAATGTGTCAACATTTCTGATCTTATAGAACGTGTAGAAAAACAACCTATTTTAATAAACTCCTCTGTAAGACTTACTGTGTTTCATTGCAGCATGGCGCCCTCTAGTGTTTCAATCAGGTTCTGAATCATATTATGGATGAACTGCACTTCCAGTGCACATGCTGGATTGGAGTCTGTAAAAAAACGCTGCAGTTGCTTTTATTTTTATTTTTTAAACAAATACATGTATTTATTATTTTGCAATTTTTTTTTTTTTTCACAGAACTGGCTCTGCCTTGTTTGTTTTGACTGACAACAAGTTACGTTTTAAAAATGGTTTTGGATTATTTGACAATTACTTGTAAACATGTTTAGTCTGTATTCATTTATAAAGTTATGGATATATTTAATTATGTCTTGTTTGTATTTTTGTGTGTTACTTTGAACCGTTCATTTTACTAAAGTAACCTTAGATTGACCCTAAAATGTACAGATTATTTACACATTAAATAGTTTTATTTCTAACAAGTAGTAACTAAAATTGCATTTAGTTGGATTTCGATGTAACAGACACTATTGAGAGCTGAATATTGGGTAAATGGTTTTATGTGCAGGGGTTCAATCATGATTGGTTCTCTCAAAGTCTCACATTGTTTTCACTCACCTCTAACGGCATCACATGCAGGTATTTTGTATTTAATATGCCAAGATTTTGAGATAGTACTCAGTGATTTCTTCATCCACAATGACTTTCTTTGTTGCAATGCAAAAAACACGTTTTAACCCAATGCCTCCAGTACTAGTGTCACCAACACGGAGATAAACCTTTTCATTTAAAGTGCTTCAGGATGACTGAAGCACTTTGTAAAAAGTGTTAACAGGTTGAGCGAAATACTTTGACAAACTAGTTAGTCTCGTCTTTAGGAAGTTCAGATTACAGTAAAGAGTGGATGATACAGAAAGCACTTGTTCTACCTTCATGGTTAAGAAAGAATGAATAATTTCATCACAGTTCATAGAAAGATAGCTTTATTGCACAAGGTGTTGAGTACTCTTTTTTTGTTTTTGTTTGTTTTCATAGAAAAGAAAATGTAGAGTTAAACACAAGCAATTGCAAATTGAAGCAACGTTTCCCCGTAAAAGTTTAAGGAACAACCTCTGCATCTTTCAAATGTTTTCATTAACCTGCCATTTTAAGTTGTTCTTTTCACCATTTCCCTTTCTCTTTTATAACCAGCAAAAATTTCAGAGCATGCAATGCTGCTGTCCTCCCCCCAAAAAGTGGAATTAAAAAAAAAGGCAAACGCTAAACAAAGCAACCTGTGATAAAGTAAAAACAATTAAAACAAAAAAGATAAAAATTAACAGAAAAAAAAATTTGAAACATTTTTTTTAAAAGAGGACAATGCAACCAAATGTCCTGTAAAAGAAGAAATAAATATTGTTAACTATGCATGGCCCACTCTGACATGTTTCAACTGGTTCATAAATCAAGATAAAGCAGTGTCTGTATAATCCTATAGTATTTCCTTGTCCTCTTCTGTTTCATTACAATAACGTCAGTTCAAAGTTTACATTGTGCCCTGGTTTCTAGTGAAGATGTCGAAAATAGTACTCATTTATACAAAACACTTTCCTATGTACACAAGTCTTCTATTATGGAGTTAAAATAATGTAAAAGGTGGGGGAACAGTGAGAGGGAAGATCTTATTGGTTGAGCAGATGCGGAAAGGTTGGGGAAGAAGCACATGTGAAGTTGGCCTCAGAGTTCAAACAGTCAGCTTGTAAAGTATTCTGTTGTATTTTAAAGAGAGAATCCACCCTGATTCACTTATTTGTCAATTCAACATTGCAGATATCAACACAGGGTGCTGAGAAGAAATGTTGCTGCAACAATGATAAAGTACTGTGAACAGTTACAAGTTTAATATGGCAGTATGGTTTGCTATTTTATTCAAAAGTAACTAGTCAATGTTACACAATAACAGGCCATCTTTTCAGCTGCACATATGATTTTTTTAATATTATTTGTACATTTAACTTGAATTATTTATTTGGTTCTAAAAATATTTTTCTGCACATGAGAACGGAAAATCTATAATTTAGGAACCAAAATACTATAGTATTGTGTAGTTTGCAATAATCAGGCTGTTTTGAGTTTAATTTCAACCAAGGATTAAACAAAATTCTTGGAATACATTAAAGGAATAGTTAAACATTTAAAGAAATACGCCTCTTTGCTTTTTCGTAGAGACTTAGATAAGTTTAATCAGTATAACAAGTGTAAGACCATCAAGTCTCCACTGGTTAGAGGGTGGACGTTTCCTTAAAGGCATACAATACATATACTTTAAGCAAACTGACTATATATCAGTGATTTAGAGGCAACTTCAATGAAGAATAGGGAAAAGCAGGTTTGACAGGAGTTTGTTTTATCACTCCATCCAATATCCATACAACTGTATATATGAGGCCTCTGTTTCTGGTTGCTAAAACAGGACAGCCCCATTTCCGGACTTGTTTTACTGAAAACAATATTTGTACAACGTGAAACATTAAGGCCAAAATAAACAATTAACAATGAAAAGCTAAATGCATTTATCTCCTGTGTAGTTTTAAATTAAATAGAGCATTAATACATATATGAGAAGTTACTTTGTGGTATGTTTATTGGCTTGCAGTCCAGAAGTTTGAGCTCGCTATGACACGGAAAAGAAACAGAAACACTTTTCGGTCTGTTTGTTTTCATTAACTAAAGTCAGATAATGGCATTGAGTTTGTGAACAAACCTTTGGAAGGTACAATACAACATATTACAACAGGCTCACTTACTGTATAGGCTTCCCTTGTTTTACGGTTTTCTTTTTCAACACCACACTTTCTGCACTGAGCCATAGACCAGTTAACCAGCGACACAATCTCACACTATAATTTGACTTTACTGTGCTTTCCTCTCAGTCTCGCCCTGCTGCACAGGAGCTGGAACATTTACAATATCACAAGGGGGGGTCATTGGATCATTCCTCAAACCGCAGTTTCACCATTTAACTTTCTTTCACACCACTTCCTTTCTCTCCAAGATCTCCCATCCATGGTTGTGCTACCCGTTTAAGCCTCCCTCTTCTTCTTTCTCTTCCTTCTCGCAGTTTTTCACTCTGAGCGATTGTCTTGTGATCTTTTATATATATATTCAATTAGAACGTTTTTTATATTTCTCTGCTTTTTTAATATTCATATATTTGCTATATATTTGAATAGAAATATATATGTACATACTTTTGAAAACAAACATATATCATATCTTTTTTTCTATTGCGAGAGCCCTGATGTTACGTTTTGCCATTGCAAAACATTTGGAGCAACTCTTTTTGGAACGATCTTTGTTATGGGATTAAGCTTTGGGAGAAGAAATGGGAAAAACAAGTTAACCAAAAGTTAGCAGATACAGTACCATGCATAAAGCTCAAATAAATTCAGTGAGGTGGAGGGACTTGAAAACACATCTCTTAGTTTTAAAGACCGCTTATTTCTCTTCTATGTAACCCCCTCTTCCCTTTTCTGCAAATTCTTTTAACACTTGATCTCTCTGTCTATAATCTTAAAGTCATTGTCCGTTCATCAATTCAAGATAATTTCATACAAATATTATTTTCTTTATACATCTCAATAAATTTGCTGTACGTTTGAAACTTTTGCTTCCATTCAAGTTGTCATTGAACGTCAAGTAGCATTTCTGCCTGTCTGTGCATATGAGACCTCTCAGTCCAGCTGTCTTTTAACTAGCCCGTATGCTAGCAGTAGGTCACAGTGACACTGTATGGATATGATGGGAGACTGGGTGGGTGAAGGTGGGATATATGAAAGGGGAAAAGTGGATACAGGTAAAATGTGTTAAACAAAGACTAATGACATTGTGGAACGATTGTGGAACGATGATGGATCATAATGGGGGTTTTCATCCTTCTTTGTTCTGAGGAAGAGAATAAAGTAAGGATCCTGTTTCTTCTGTAAATGCTCTTTTGTGAACCCACTTCATTTTCAGTATTATTTCCTAATCAATGCTGTCAATCACACTTAACAAAACAAAGTTCAAAATGCTAGACGAATTAGGATCATAGAGTTACATCGTCAGCATTATCATTGTTACTGTCCCCGATTCCCCAAAATCAACAGTGGGGGGGAGGGTCAGTTTACACAGACATCTGCCCGAGAGGTCAGCATACAGATTGATTTTTAAAAAGATCCACTGTTGGTGTGTGCCTGCCACATGTATACATATATATATTTAATATACACTCACACACGCACACACACACACACGCAGGCTTGTGAAGGTTTCTGTTACTTGGATCCATTCTAACTTTTCTTAGTGCACATGAGATTATATTTCCATTATCAGAAAATTAACTGAAAACTGATGAAAAAGAGGGTTTGGATTCACTTGATGATGCTTGACATTTGTTGTATGTCCTCTGTTTTGAGTCTGTTTAAAAAAGCATCAATTAAGACCACTATGCTGTGTCATCCATTGCATGTATAAGAAGATTCTCCAAATCTCAAAACTGGTATTGAGATGTCAGTCCTTCCACTAAGAGCCAGTGTAACACCAAGGTGGTTTATGCATACATTGAAAGCATCCTGCCATGGCACAATGCTGTGATATGAGCTCTTCTTCCATCAGAAACCAGAAAAGTAATGTATTTAATAACCTAAAAACATCAACAACAAAAAAACTTGGTTCATTCTATGACTGTCTTGATCCAGAAAACAAGACAGTGCACGTGGAAAGCATTTTGTGCATAAGTACTTTGTCCTTGCCAGAAAATGAAAAAATGAAGTGAACAGATTAATCATTTACGGTTTGGCAAGTGATTTCCAGGGTGATGAAATTAGGGATAGAGAAAGATGACACAATAATAATAAAAAGCAATCAGGCAGAAAGAAAGGCAAACCCCTGTGCTGTGGAGACCCAGCTCTGACCCCTTCATACAGTCGTGTCAATGGGACCCCCAGCAGCTCCCTGCAGCCCGACACAGCGCAGGCACTGACGGGTCGGCTGAGCATGTGTATGTTTCTCTTCTCACTTCATAGAGGCTCCAGGCAAGCGCTGGCTTGACCAGCATTTTATTTAGAGTTACAGTGACAGGCCAAGGTGTTGGCAGGCTACACCAGTGTGTACGACTTGGAGTAGGCCCCGGCCCCTCCATCTCTCTGCTTCTGCAGTCTGCCTAAGCCCGAGGAGCTGCTCTCCAGGAGAGAGTCTCTGGATCCTCCCATCTTGGAGGAGGCCCCTCCAGGAGTCCCTCCTGTGGCCCCTGAGGAGGAGAATGCAGCGGCTGCAGCAGTGGCAGCAGCAGCGGCCGCTGCACTCTGGGCCATGGAGGCAGAGGAGCCTGGCATGGTGAGAGTCCTCTGGGGGAGGGTGGAGCTGCTAGAGCTAGCAGACGCACCCCCACCACAGGCTCCTGTTGCCCCTCCAGAGGAAGAGAGGTTGGACAGGCCAGAGTGGCCCATGGTTAGGGCCTGCTGCTTTACCGAGTCCATAGTCACATGACGGCCCTGGGTGTGGTATGCCCGCTGGGCCAGGCCACGAATGGAGGCTTCACGTGGGGGGACCACTGGACAGGGGTCATGATGCTCGGACTGCTTTCGGAAGAAGGGATCTGACTTCATGTAGAGGGGAAGGTTGCAGTAGTCACCTAAAGGGAAAAAATGACATTTAATGTGTTAAAACCTGCAAAACCCAATGCCTATAAATAATTATCAGTGCTGCATCAGACAGAACTTTACCATCCCTCTAAACTTAGTTGTATGTGTTGTTTATGTGTATTTCTATATTATTGTTTGATGTTTTTTTATATTTACAATTCTGTTATAATGCTTTTTTGTTATATCCTTAACTCAGCTATCTAGCTGTGTTTAGCTATATAATGGCTATTTCTGCTGTTTGACAATTAATGAAAGTCATAATACATATAATCCTTCAAATAATAGCTATAAACTCTATTTATGCTCTGGATCTTAAAGGGGACCTATCATGCAAAATGCACTTTTGTACGTCTTTTATACATGAATATGTGTCCCCGGTGTTCCAGGGAACTCACCAAGTGTCAGAAAACACAACCCTCTCTATTTTCCTCCATACCCAAATCTCTAAAAAAGGGGCTGCAACGGATCTGATAAAAACTGATCCAGATTTGAACACTGTCCTGACGTCAGGACGGTGGCGCTACGGCTATTGGGCCAACTCCACCAATCAGGAGGAGACAACCACGGCATTGCCGTTCGAAAGCGCTGGAGACGCTGTAGTACATATGCCAGGCCTCTAGATGGTGCTGTTGCTCACAGAATCAACCCTTGCAAAAACAGAGCTAACATTTTTCAAATTGAGCAAAATGAGGCATGGCTAAAATGCATGATCTGTTTGGTATTTTGAAAAAAAAAAAGTATAAATATGCCTTATATAGGTATGGTCCTACACTATATTATTCAAATATAGCATGATAGGTCCACTTTAAATTGCATCGTCCCTATCAAATAAAAATATACAATTGAACTATTAGTATACTATACTACTAATATATTAATACGTCGATTTGTTTTGACCTATTAATGATTAAATCCAAGTTAAAAGTGCCATGTGAAAATAATTAATTATAAAAAAAGTTAATGCTTGCAGCAACCACTCACTCTTTGCGCGGTGTGGAATGGGCACAGCTACATTCTTGCCACGATCGTAGTCCTGGGGTTTGGGCGGTGAGGCAGTGAAGCGGCAGATACCGGGCTCTGAGGGAGTGCTCATGGACGTCATGCTGTCTGCATTGTCGTTGGTACCTGTAGTCATCTGGTCAGAGGAGCTGTCAGAGATAAAGCATTCAGTAATCTCAAACTTGGCATGCTGCAGGTGTTCCTCCAGCTTGGCATGCTCGTATGCTCTCGCCAACTCCTCGTAGGTTGAAGAGGCGCTCTCTGTCGACACCATGCTGTTGCGACCCTTATCTAAGAAAGATAATGGAAAGGATAGAAAGTTAAGCACATTTTGTCCAGTTCAAAAATAATGCTTTCTGAGATGTAACCCACTGCAAAACCACATTGTCCTCCACATTTGAAAAATAGCCTTACTTAATATGTGCATGTTAATGGCTGTAAGTGTAATTCATCCCATGTGCCAACCTGTGTCCTGTGAGAGGCTGGCGCTGTAGCTGTCACTCTCGGTGACAGTGATGCCATGCTGGGAGCCAACTGTGCGCCAGTCTGAGGTGAGAGCGCGGGCTGGCGTGGAGGACTGGCACTTGGTCAGAGTCCACTGACTGGAGTATCGGTTCCTGATGCTGTGGGCTGACTTTACGCTCTTCCTCGAAACTGGGTCTGGTAAAGAAAATGGATGAAGAAATAAGAAGGATGAGCATATGTGCAGAGGCTGTTTAAGGCGAGTGAATGAAAAAGCATTTGCAAAGCTAATTGCTTTTATTCACATGCTCTGCTACACTAGCACTGTTTTGGTTTAGTTAAAGTTTGTGCTGATAAAATGAAACGTGAGGAGAGAGAGAGAACACTTACTGGTTCCTGGTCTGATGTCTGACATGTCAATCAAAGGACCGGTGTTCTGGATGAGGGCGGGATGATGGACGGACACACCTGTGCAGAAGCTTTGAGGGTTTCCAGTTTGGTTGAACTCTGTGTCTGTCACAGGGATAGTGGCTTTGTCTTCACCTATAAGAGACATCATTCATATTTTTGAAATGCAGTTATAGCAAGTCAAATACAGTACAGTACACATACATTATTAGATATAACACTAATGCACAGACGCCTGAAAACAACTCTCTTTTTCTTTCTCTTCCTCTCACCAATTTGCTTGATGCCTTCCTTGTCCTCAATGAGCAGCTGCACTCGGGGGATGTCGATGTGTAAGCGTGGGCCCTGAGGAGGTCCCTTCACTGGGGTGTCAAAGCTGCGGTTGTTTTTACTAATGCACAGATACAAGACGAGCAACCAAAAAAAACATTTAGAAAAATACAGGTATGTAAAATACATTTTTGAGATGCACTAAGTAGTATCTCTGACAGGTTATGTAGCAGGATTCTGAAATGTCAGTCTTACCTGATCAGCATCTCTGCCAGGCTTTTGGCATCTAGAAAGATAAGAGACACAAATGATTTATTTCTGATACACAAATCAATCTTCTAAAATAAATGCAACTTTCGATTCAAGATTCTCTCTTAAATTTGCTTCGGGCATATCTGTTGGTTACACTGGTAAATGCTTTGTTTATCTTGTTGATTCCTTCCTACCACTTCTCTCACCTCTTAGTCTCTTCAGCCTCTTTTCTTTGCGTTTCCTGCGAATGATGAAGAGCAGCGCAACACCCAGAGTGACCAAGATCACAGGACATCCAATAGAAAACAGCTTCTTGACATCATCGTTCTTTTCCAGAGGGGATTTGATTGGTGGAATTGTACCTACAAAGAGGAAGAGCAGAGATTACTAACTGCCATTTCCAACAATATTTTAAGATAACCGGTGTTGTGATTTTTTTCATTAGTTTAGCAGACAAAACCATTCATTCATATTGAATGCCAAACAAAGAGTGTTCTACTTACTGCCATCATAGTCCAGGGTTGCAAACTGGGAGCTCTGGTTGCCACAGCCAGCACTGTTGCAGGCTTTCATCTTCAACTCATACCAGGTCGCCTCACGAAGCTCAGCCAGGAACACATCTGCTGTGGCATTGGTGCGCACATTCTGCCATGCCCATGTACCTGCATCAAGTACACATAGCAATGTTGAGTCTGTTCTAATTTGTTACTTTATTACATTTCTTTTTATGATGGAAAGTGACCTGAGAACTAGCATTCACATGCAAACTTTTCCTATTTGATTTGTTACACAGTATGTTCAAATACTTTTGCAAAATTGACAAACAGAGACTTACCTTTTGGTCTAAACTCTAGTATGACAGCGTTGATGGGACAGCCTCCACTGACCCAGCCCTGCAGGTTGAGGCGGGCGTGGCTGGAGTTAAGGTGGGTGAAGACCGGCTGATCCTTGTTGAACTGGGGTTCTTTAAAAGGAGGAGAATCAGATATTTAGGATTTATGTGTTCTAATGATCTTATTATGTTTGAATGAATGGTAGATATTTTAAGCTTCATTGTTGACTCCACCACTGAGACCACTCACAAAATATGCCTTTCGTACTGTGTTATATTGTTCGAAGATTATTCCACCATATCCTGGTAATATCAGCTTTGAATTGTGATTTGTAACCACATTCCTTTCCTTCATCCTATAGGACATGTCTCTTACCTCGCCCATGGGTCTTTGCTTCGATTATCTCACTGATGCGTCCGGCTCCCACACTGTTCTTTGCAGCCAGCTTCACTTTATACCAGGTGCCACAGCGCAGGTTGTCCAGTTTGAAGGAGCGTTCACTAGAACTGATGAAAACATCTTTCCATTCCTCTGTGTTGTCTACAGAGTACTGCAACACGAAACCTGCACACACACAAAATAGAAAATGCACACAATCATTATCATACTTTCTGTTGTGACATACAAAATGTCATAGTGGTCTGACATAAAAAAAGTCACATGTCGTGACCCATTCCACTAGATTTCCCTTATCTTGCTGGCTCCTTTATTTTTTTCAGGATCCAAATCATCCACTTCATGAGCCTTCTATCTCTTCCCTGGCAGGCGCAAATGCTGTTTTGCTTTGACTGCTACAGATGATTTCCCTTACCAAATATTCTCCAATGACTGAATATGAATATGATTATTTGTTTAAATTCAACCGGTCTACCATTTTTACCATAAATAATTTCATAATAAAAATCGTAGATAGTAGAATATGTCATGATGTAGATTCACATATGATTGTCATAGAAACAAAACTATAGTATAATATGTCTTAAGAAAAGTCAGGGTATCTTGCATCATAAAAAGGTCATAATAATGTCAGAAAATGTTTTATAGTATATTATGTAGAGTGTTATATTATTTCGAATACATGCCTTAGAAATGGCGTAAAATGTTAATTGAATAGTACAGTATGTACAAAACTAATTGTTGTCAAAAATATAATTTCAAAGTTATTTTAAAATACATGATAAAAGTGGAAGAAAATGTGATTCTATTTAAGTCAAACAGTCAAGATAAAGAACTTCATTTGCACCAACCCTACTAAACATGTCACATGTGTACCCTGACTGTCCACCAGATGGCAGGTCAGACCTTCCCTCGCACAGACGGGCCCTGATTGGAGGACAGTGTAGCTGCTCGCTGTCTACTCCGCCATTAGTTACCTACAAACCCCAACACTGGGATGGCGCTGACTGAGCATCTATGCAAATGAGGGTATGCAATGTGGTGACTGTTTTTATAATCAGCTGCCTTGAAAGCCAACTCCCTGCTGCTCGGAGACACTTTACATCCAATCCTCCATCTCTTTCCTTCTGTCTGTATATAATTATGTATATATAAATGTCTCCCTCTCTGTGTTTCTTTGTACTCTCTGTACCATTTCTTTCTCCATCTCTCTCTAACAGATGGTGTGATAGAGTCCAAAACATTAGAGGGGTTAACACATGCAGATCCTGCAGTGTTTGTTTTTAAGTTTGAGAGTCACCCTCTGTCTGTCACAGAACAGAAGAGAACACAGAAGAACATAGAAGAAGGAACAGTAAGGAACAGCATTATAACAAACTATATATCACTACTCACTGCAGGATCACTAGCCTATACAGTTGGTTCATTTGATTATTACACAAGCGGCAAAGAGGCCTCTTTTTTAATGAAAGCTAACATGTTTCGCCACTGCAGTAGTAATGTTAAAAGAGATCCTTGACTGCTGACACTGTAGAAATTCACACACAGACATGCATTGTGGTATACACACAAGATAAAGGCTTCCCTGATGTACTGGATGATGGATGCAAATATTGCTTGGTGGAACATCATGATTTTAATAATACAAAGTTGCACACTATACACATGACTTTGTATTCCCTACTTGCAGAGCAGTATTTAAACCCACATGAATAACATACAATTGTATTTTGCAACAGCTTTTGGCAGCATTAAAGTATAGTTACCGACTGACCAAAGGGTTCAAAGAGCTGTTAAAACAATTATTTTAGTAATAAAATGTGGGACAATAAGTCTCTCTGGGTGCTGTGATGTCTTGAGCCATTACCTTTATAGTTTAATATAGGCATAAAGAGCAACAACAAGTCAGAAAGACAACCCTGAAACAGCCTCTTATTGACAAACAGCACGAACAAAGAAAAGGGATTAAAACCACATAGGCATGGATGCCCACTCAGGCATGGATGCCCACTCAGGCACACACACCATGCCTATCTTCACACCAGAATCACCAACAATCGGTTAATCAAAGAGACACAGAGTTAACAGGGAAACGTAAAACCAGAGGGCCAATCAATAACTAATAGATAATGTGCACATTAACAATGAGCCGGATCAAGGAGAAAGAGAATACAGACAGAGGGTAAACTCAGAGGTCAGTGGGAAATCTTTTTTCTTTCAAAACACAACTTGATGACCTCAAGCTAACTGTATATACCTTTAAACACATTGGCAAATATGTGACAAGAAGAAAGAGATGTGAGTTGGCACAACAAGAGACAGCTTTGTTCGGCAGGGTCATGTACCTCTAATAGAGCTCCCTCCGTTGTCTCCTGGTATCCAGGCCAGAGTGATGGAGGAGATGGAAGTGGTGGAGACGGTTAGACGAGGCTGGTCAGGAGGAACTGAGGAAGGGACGCAAAGAGTTAACAGCTCAATAACACGTGTAATAAAATATGAGGGAGATTCTTTTTAACGGGGTTAAAAATATGTCACTATTTCTCATTTTCAGCAAGTATTTTAAGTGAGATGCAACAATAATTGAGCGGCTTGAATGAAAGGCCTGAAGGTTATTGCCATTATTGTCAATTATCCTACCTTGTACCACAAGGTTGACAATGATAGTGTCGAAGCCCAGCGTGTTGGTGGCCGTGCAGGTGTAGTACCCAGAATCCTCAGCTTTGACCGCACGCAGCACCAGTGTCCCATTGGTCAGGATGAGCCGCTGTCCATCTAGAGACACTGGGATGGCTGTGTCCTCACTAACAGAGAAAGGAATCATTTGAATAGGTTAACATGCTATTTACCTTGTTGTTTAGTCTTGATTAACATAGGATGCAAAACAATCCAAAAGCATGGGGTCAACAAGATAGTTGTACTAACTTGTGACATAATTCCATCGCTATATATAAACAACTGCAAACAGTAACTGACTTTTCCCTAAATCAACTGAGATACTTCAATACTTGTTCACTTTGAACAGGTATCACACTAACACCATAAACTCAGATTTACACAATAATTCTGGGAAGGTTTCTCACCTGTCTTTGGTCCATTTGATGGTAGGTGTAGGTTCTCCTACTGAGCTACAGGGCAGTCGCACCTCCTTCATCCAGGGGGTCGTCACTGTGCCCCCAAATGAAAGGATCTTAGCCGGGGCTGGTGAAAAATGAAGAGAGGAATGTAAAGAATTAAAGTATATAGAGACTGTTAGAGCTAATGGTATTAACAATTACACAAGAACAGTTGTTTTCTGTTCTAATTAATATGTACCAATCGGTTAATCTTGGCATTGTCAGATAAACAATTTTCAAACCCCATAAACAAATGCTTTAGGTTTCAGTATGTGTCGAATCAATAGAGAAACGTGATGGTTGAAATGCAATTGATTTGTTTTCCATTTGGGATTCTTTCAATAAACATGATTTACCAGTAGAGAGTGTGCAATGTATTTACCGTGATTCACACTCAGGGGGGAAAGAAATCGATGTTTAATGTGACATTGTGCAGCTCAGAAAAGCATATGAATAAAAATACAAGACAGGACGAAGAATCAGCAGAGAGGATATTAAAAAAAATATCCATCCATTCAGGCACATAACCCTCTTACTCTCTGTCACTCCACCCACCCGCTCTCTGTCTCTCTTTCTTTCTCAAGCTTGGCGTCTTAATGCAAGTGCTCTAGTGCACTTATGTTAAGGTTGAATGAAGTATTGAGTGGGCAAGCCTGGAGGACACTGCCTTTTACAGCTGCCAATCAGCTGACGCACCCACCCGTACGAGCGCACACTCGCAAACCTTTGCACCCAGCAGTCAAAGGACCGAATAGATACAGGAAAGGATAACATGGTGGGAAGTGCACTCTATTCATTCTTACTCCCTCTTTCTTTTAATCCAAAGCCTATTGATTTAACTGCCCTCTTCATTTTCTTAAACACTCTGCCTCTCTATCGTCTTGTGTATTAGTTAGCTCTCCTCCCGTCATGTCATATTCTCTCCTCTTCTTGTCCTCCCTTTTGCTCTCCCTCTTATTATTTCCCTGATTCAGGACAGTTTATCTGGTGCCCTCTGAACTCTGAAATCAATAGCAGAGGCTCAAAAACACATAACAGGAGGGGAGGTTGAAGAATATGCAGTTATATAGTAATAGCAAGAGACAGAATAAGAGGGAGACTTTTTATACGAGTCATGAGTAAAAGATCCTTTAAAAAATATATATGTGTAGTTCTTGGCATTGTCTGTTATGTCATCCACCCAACCACCACTGATATGGTGATTTGTAGGTTAAAAAGCCTTTCAGCTGTCCTGGATAAATCTGACAAAATGTGGTTGTAAAGTGAATGTTTTCTGATACATTACATAACCAAGTTTCAACTGTATTTGAATGACACATCTTCAGTGTGAAGGAGTGTTTATATACACATTTAAATAGAGTATATTAGAAGAGTATTACACTGTTTTAACTGATGTGACAAGTTATATCATCTTTATTTCCCCACACATTCCTCCTCATTGTCAAAACTGCTCCGTACATTGCCAACAATGCAATCTTACCTGTGACAATTTGTTCAAAGATGATGTTGTTATGCTGGAGGTACCCCCATACTTTATTTGTGAACCCCCCTTGTTGAAATAATGATTAAATGTAACCTAGATAGCAAAGATTGCTTCCAAGCACTCGGATGTTTGTCTCACGTTTCTGCCTTTAATTTCCAGGAACTCACCTTTGGACGCCGGCTCCACAGTGACCTTTTCGCTGAAGTTCCCTCGACCTGCGGTGGTGACGGCTGCCGCCCAGATCAGGTACTGCTGCCGGTGGTTGAGGTGTGTGATCCGGTAGAACAGCAGCTCTGGATTAGCTTCATACTCACTGGGCAGCTGAATGAAGCAATACGGGAAAGAAAGAAAATTATCTTGAAGGAACTGCAGGAGCAACGTGTTTTATACAGAGATGAGCACTCTCCAAATATCTTCATTTGAATAATAAGTTCTCCATTAAAAAGATTTGATGACAAAACAATCTGCATCATATCATATGTGCTAGAGAGCATGAAGTAGAATCTGGGGGATGCCAAAGACAAGATCATGTTGTCACTTTACTGGAAAGGCAGTCTTTATGTGACGGACTGAGTGAACATCGTTTTAATGTGACTTAAGCCCTATATGCTCTCCTCGAGTCGATAGGAGGATGGGGATGAACATACAAAGGGTCCCAGGCATGTTATATTATAATACTGCAAGGGAAAAAAACAACAACTGTGGGAAAGGAGGATAGGAGGCTGGATGGGAGAGAGGCAAGATGGTTGGATTGGGGCGAGTGAAGCCCACTCCCTCTCCTCCTCTGTTCTCCTTGGGGAGGGCAAACAGAGATATGAGAACAGAGGAAGACAATGGGGGACAGACAAATGAGCCAGTCAGAGATATCACGAACAGTCATACGCTAATGAGGCCTATCTACTGCAGGCATCAGTAATGACAGAGAGGAGAGGAACAAAATGGAAAGGAAAGAAAAGGAAGGGAAATTAGAGGAAAGGACCAGGAAGGAAGGAAAGGAAAGGAACAGGAACTAAAGGAAAGGAAAGAAGAGGTGAAATGGACACACAAGCAAGCACACAAACAAATATACTGACACACACATACAGTGGCATACATGACCTCGAGGTGGATGTGTAATTGCAGTGCGTTTAACCCAGCCATGTGTTTGCTGTCTAGACATATACACATCACTTTCCCTTCAGCACACACACAAATACACATTTAACAAACACACACACACACATTTCTGACTGACAATCCAACGGCACAGGTGAAATTAAGACTGCATTACGACTGTCTAATGTTTTTGAAAACGGCCTGTAAAAGCAGTGAAGACACTGCAGCGTTGCTGAGCTGCGTCCTAGCCTGCTGGGTTGTTGTCTGCAGAACGGTTTATTCTGGGCAAATAGATTCCAGTATTCATGTTGTTTTTCACATTTATGAGCAGGCCGTCATGGAAGAATCCACTGGGCTTTTTATTACTTCCCTGTGTTCCCTGTTCATCATCCATTCCTCTTGTCTCCATCCTTTCTGTATTTTCCTCTCTGCCTATCCTTCACCCCACTGCGCCATCCTTCCCTTCGCCTACTGCCATCACTCTTCATCCCTCTCTTCATTTCCCTGCCCCTCTCCACATTTGCCTGTCATCTGGGGGGCCCACTCTGTGCATTTCCTTCCATCTATCCACGAGAACCCCCCTCTGTTTTACATCTTCTCTGCGTATATCAATGTCTTCTTTTTCTCCTTGTTTCTCTCTGTACATGTGCCTCTATAGTTTCTACTGCAGGCAGTGGTATGGACAGAGGGAGGGATGGATGGATGGATGAATGGATGGGTGGGTGGGGTGTGTTGTGAGAAAGGGAGGGAGGAGTGACAGAGTGTGTGTTGCTGTAACGGATATTAAAATATTCCTCCGGCGTGGAGATAGCGGTGATCCGGGGAACGATAGAGCGAGATAATGAAAAGAGGAACAAAAGTACTCCCCGTGTGGTGTGTCTGACCCCCCCATCCCTCCTTCCTTCTCCCCAGTCGCACTCATTTACATAGTAATCATCCCAAACTCTGCATGGGGGCTTCAGAGAGAGAGAGAAAGAAGAGAGGGAGGGAGGGAGGGATAGATAGATAGATAGATAGATAGATAGATAGATAGATAGATAGATAGATAGATAGATAGATAGATAGATAGATAGATAGATAGATAGATAGATAGATAGGTGTGTGTGTGTGTGTGTGTGTGTGTGTGTGTGTGTGTGTGTGTGTGTGTGTGTGTGTGTGTGTGTGTGTGTGTGTGCAAGTATGCAACCAGGATATATTTCTTGCTTTTGAATTCACACTGTCATAAAAACATGAGTTGCATAGATGGATATGGAACTCTATACGCATGGTGTGATACATTTATGAGTGTGTGTGTGTGCGTAATTGAGAGTGTGTATTTGCTGTCGGCTTGTTTTCTGCCCTCATTGATGAACAGATGAGGTTGTCCTGGCAACGTGATGAGACGCAGATATGCAAATGAGGCTGGAGGGTGAGCTTGCACGCACACACACTGCGGTATGAGGAGCGCTCATTTCACACACACACCTAGCTGAGACTGCAGCACTAGACCACACACACTGAGACACACACACACACACACACACACACACAAACTAACACACACATCTACAAATGCACAACTATGCATAATTAAATCTAAATGTAATCTTAACATCATAAAAAGGTACTGTATAACACAGAATGTATTCTGCATAAATAAAGGATCATATAACCTTCATTACCAGCTATGTTTGGATGACCCTCTCCCTCTTTTTTCTTCCTAATCCTAAAACTCTCTGCACCCCTCTTGTAACTCACCGGTTGGCCGGACCCGGGGCTAGAGCAGTAGATGGTGTACTTGCGGATGATTCCATTTGGCTTGTGAGGGGGTAACCAGGACACCACGACACTGCTGGAGGAAGAGGGCACAGTTTTGATGCCAGCCGGGGGTCCGGGGTCTGAATCATGAAGAAGAGCAAAGAGAGAAAAGGAGGGCAAACCATTGAAATGTGAACCAGTATTAATTCCTAGCCTGTAGGTTAACAGAATACATAGATCCTTAAAAGGTATACACTATAGGGATAGCATAGGGATTTTTGGGCAGATTTTCCTTATTGTAGTTGCTGCCTGTTAAATTAAATTAAATCACAAGCACCAAAAACATTCACATGAACCCGCTAGACACATGAAGGTGGTTAGTACTCCATACTTAAACCTACAATATTTGAGATATTGCAGTAAGCTTTATACAGAAAACTTCTCTACTGTACTTTGATGGCTGCCATAAGACACATTTTGATCCTCACATTTGAGCAACATTCGTTGTACATGCAGTTAAGGGCTGTAATTATGAGTTGATCAACAGAAAATGTATCTTTATATTTTTCTTCAATCTCAAATGTAATTTTAATTCAATTTATTTGACAGTAAACGGACTATCCTGATTGCTGTTTTGACTAAACAAGTCATTTGAAAAGGTCAGTCTGTGGCTTGGGAAAGGGCATTTTTCACAATTTTCTGACATTTTATCGACCAAACAATTAATTGACACAATGATTGGCAGATTGATTACTGGGTAGCACTTTACAATAAGACTACCCTTATAAAGGATTCATAAAGGGTTTATAATTAGGTTATTAATTAGGTTGTAAACACTTTATTAATCATTAAGAACCATTTATAAACCAGTTCTAACATAGTTTTCATACATCAACACAGGCTCACTATTTGGCAAGATGACTAAGCCTTATATTGGCTACCTAGTTTACTTCGTCTTCTTCATCAACCAGCATCCTTAGCCGCGTTCACACCGCAGTACTTTTCCCACTTTAGTTCCGATATAGTTCCGAAATGTCGCGTTCACACCAAAAAGAGCCGGAACTCAAATTAGTTAATCAGAACCTTTTTTACCCCCTTTTCCGTCCCTGCTAGAGAGCAGGTACTTTCGTGGGAGAAAAAGGTTCCTATGTCTGATTGGCTGGGCGGAATGCAAACCACGCCCCGTAAAACTCCCAAAACGTTTTGTGAAGCCGCCATTTTATTATCCTCGCATTAGCATTATTAGCATTAGCATTAGCCCAGCGCACAAACGCAGAGGGACTAACTTATAGCAACACAAAAGAAAACATGGGAGCGGTGGAGATGAGGAGGTGTCGGTGTTCTGGCGATTTACTCTGAGCCAGTCCCCAACTCCGGGGACTTCCGGCCGGGGACTTCGGGTGGCAGTATACGCCGTGAAGTTGTTTGCGGCCTGCCAGTAAACCCAAAGCAGAAGAAGAAGAAGTGACGTCAGCGGCTTCATTTGCTTAATCCTCCCCCAGGGACTTATTCCGGTGTGAACGCGATCTGTACTTAGTTCATGAGAACTAAAGAGTTCTCATGAACTAAGATCTCATGAACCTTTGTGGGAAAAGTACTGCGGTGTGTATGCGCCTCTTGGTATCTGTTGCTCACCGAGTTGATTCTCCCCCATCCATCTTGATGTTTCTTGGCATCTCTTATGACCATCTATTGATGAGTCACTAACATTTATAACTACTGAAAGGGTGCGTTGTTTTTAAGTTTAATACACATGTCCATTTATGAATGAGTTATAACATTCACGCTTACCTAATACATTTTTTTCACATGAAATGCAAAGTAAGATGCAACAGAACCAAGCAAAACATTTTATTCACACATGAAGAAAATCAGGACTCAAAATAATGACTGTTTAGTATGACTGATACACATATTTAAACATAAAAGCTTTTCTCAGACATAAATGAAAGACATGGTAAGAAATAATGTTACTCAGACTGGAAAGGCTTTGTGTATATCCTTGAACAAGCGTCCAAGCAGTCCATCAGGGTGAGCAGAGCCAAGCCAAGATGACCATTCAAGAACCTTGAGGTGTTCCTCCAACAAACTCTCTGTACGGTTTCCTCTCAGTCTACGGACATGTCCTTTAACGGTCGACCAAGCTCTTTCTATATGTTGGGTATGACTGCCGTCTGGGGGTTCACCAACCACCTGCTGTGGTTTATGGTGTAGTGGTTGTACCCCATGTTATTCAGCAGCACTCTCCTGTATGCCCTCCACTCATCACTCATAATGCTACTTCCTTACATGCCGTCTAATCAGAGGGACAAGGTGGCATCTTGATCGTTTCTCCACTAGTTTCAACACTAGTCTCAACACTAGTCTCCGCCTTTTGTCTTTCACTCCCATCATTCCGAAGACCCATTTCTTCCTTCTCCAGGTATGTCCAAAGCGTCCACGTGCGTACTAACAAAAAATAAATCATCTTGGTTAACAACAAAATGTACACAAATTACAGTAACAATTGTTGCACATCATTTTTCGAAATGCCATACTTGTTTATTAGGTGCATTGTATAACATAATTTGAGGATAATTATACAGCAATGGCCCATATTGACTTTTGTTATTCTCTTGTACAAGAAAGCCCAGTCTATAACTGCCGAACATAGGAACTGGGTACAGTACCTTCTCCCAGACACAAATACTCAAATAAAATAGTTTACTTTATCAGCATTGGTATTACCAACGCTTACTATTTATTTGATATCAATTTGGTAATACAATTAATAAAAAGAACAAGGTTTGGATTCGTTCTTCAGATATGACTGTGATGTTAACGTGTAAACTCAATAATGAACTCCAGCTCAACCAACCATAATGTAATATCTAAGTAATTATCGTGAAATATTACATTATTATTTTTAATATACACACATCTTATTGTGAGGTTAATTTCACATACACTACGCCGTTCTTCAACACTACTTTGACGTTAGCTTGTCTACATAATCGATCATAGCGAATTTATATTAACCTTAGCAATGCATAAAGTTACCTTCCTAATAAAATATCTCTCTAACTTACAAGGATGACCTTAGTTTACCAACCTCAAACAGAAGCCGTTTATTCTACAGTATTATCCCACTTAATGCTTAAAGGTAGGGTATGTAATTTATTTCAGAAACACTTTTTGTTATATTCCATGGAATGCTCTTAACATCCCGATAGCAATGAATTTATTAAATGCTTTGACAATAAATACATAAAAAAAACGGCTCTGTGGAAGCCGTAGTACTGTAAAAAGCACGACCAATCATTTTAGCCGGCCCGGCTAAAATAACTGGATGGCCTACCTGCCTGTCAGCCTTCCATCTGTGCACAAACTTATCTCGTGCCCTCATTGGTCATGTGCGCGTTCGTGTGTGTTGGAGGAGGGGCTCTGTAAGGAAGTGGCAGATTTTCTCCGGTTGTGTATTTTCAAATTCTAGCGCACTCGAGCTGGTTTCTCCAAAATTACCTACCCCACCTTTAATGCTTCTCTATTACGTTTTAACTTGGAGGCTACGATTAGCATCGTTAGCACATGTAGCTACCACATGCTTACATGCTAACCCAAGCCTTAACATTCATTAACGTTAGCTGACTAAAAACATAAGCAACACATAAATAAAGTACTCAAATTTCACTTACCGAAAAACCGCATTCATGCACCGTCTGTTTTAACCGCAGAGCGAGTTACAATGGTCCGATATAAGCATGAAGAATAGTCCACAAGGCACCAGCACAACAAACATGGCAGAGTTCAAGTTATGTTCCCCGGATGAGCTGAGCAGGCTGAGCAAGCCCCCAGGAAGTGCGCCGGACTCTGAGGAAAATATTCGTTGTGGCCAAACGGCGGTACTACACTTCCGCATCAGTCGCTGGGCCCAGAAAGACCGTTTCCCATTGACTAACATTGGGAAAGAGTGGTCTGTAAATCGTTGGATAATTTTTTTTAAACTAAATAAACTACCCAGTATGAACATTTGTATAGCCCTTATTAAAAACATTCGGTCCTCAAGTTGTAAAATGTGCTAATAACGTTATCCTGAGAGATTTTTTCCTCGGCATTATGAACGCGCATCTAACCCAGGGGACCGCCCCGCCCGGCACGTTCATGTGACGTGTCCAGTACGACATGAGTTTTACCTTCACCCATGGATGCACAATAAGAACGGATTATATGATTACTTTCGTGGCGTTTCACTCTCTCAAAAGTTGGGCCATTTTGTCTTCATGCGCCAATGAGCAACTCTCATAGGAACGAACGAGGCCCCGCCTCCCACGCTGTATCCAGTTCTTATTATACATCCATGAGGCTGAGTCCCTGTAGCATCACGGAGCTGCTAGCAGAGAGACAGAAAGCTAACAACAGCAGTCACTGGACAGACCTGTCACTCAATGTGACCACGCCCTAATGTATGCATAACTTTAAGGCTTAACATAACTTAAACAAATTATAAATGGTAGTAACTCATTAATAAATGGTGATTTGTTTAACACTTTACAATAACGGACCGTCTCCACAGCAGCGTTAAAAAAATCTTGGAGGTGGGCGTATCTGAGGCTTGGGGATTTTTTTGCGATCAACCAATCACATGAATCTCCCGCCCGCGACATACGAAGCCAAAAAGCCCGAAGTAAACTGGATATAAACTCCCCAAAACAGGCGAAAACATACCACTGTCTCTGCCACCTCCTTCCATGCCTGGCTCCTCCGGTTTATATCCCGGTAGGTCTGGTCATAAAGCACCGGGTGATTGATTCGCTACCGCTAATTTCTCCTCCATTTTTTGGAATATGAGGAAATGACCTGCGGTCTGGCTCTCCCAGCATACACGCCGTTTGATTGGCTAGAGCTTGAACTGTCAGATTTGCGTACACGGGATTTGATTGGCTGACGCTTCCTCCTCAGCTTCAAAAGTTGAACATTGTTCAACTTTGGATCTTGAAAATCCTGAGAATCTCCGCTCGCCTGCCCACAATGCATTTCGGCGAAAGCGAAAAAAAGTGACGTCACCCCATTCAAAGTGAATGGGCAGAAGCGTTTCAAGATTTTTTAACGCTGCCGTGGAGACGGCCCGTAAGGCTCCCTTTTACCAATTAGAAATGGTAGTAACTAATAAAAAAATGGGAATGTGTTTTACACTTTACAAGGCTCCCTTTTGGCAGTTATACATGTTAGTAACTCATAAATAAATGGTCATAAAGAGATGCCAAGAAACATCAAGATGGATGGGGGGGGAATCAACTCAGTGAACAACAGATACCAAGGACGCTGGCTGATGAAGAAGACTAAGTAAACTAGGTAGCCAATATAAGGCTTAGTCATCTTGCCAAATAGTGAGCCTGTGTTGATATGAAAACTATGTTAGAACTGGTTTATAAATGGTTCTTAATGATTAATAAAGTGTTTACAACCTAATTAATAACCTAATTATAAACCCTTTATGAATCCTTTATAAGGGTAGTCTTATTGTAAAGTGGTACCGATTACTGTGACTCATTTCTTTATTTTCTTGCTTCTTTTGTCCTGCACCTGAACCCAATTGCCTTTGGAAGGGAACACTACTTATTTCATGCATTGTGTTGCCATATGAACATTTCTTTGTATGTAATTCCTCAATTAATTAGCAATTCATAGATCATTTTAATGTATTTTTTCTTTTCCGGTTTAAGATGACCAGTACTTTAAGATTTAGGAAGAGTTAAACATGCAATGTTTGTGACAGTTTCAAAATAACTCAACCAAAGAGCTTATAATACTTATAATAGTAGGTGCCCTTTCTAATGATGCACACCTTGATGCTGGTCATCATTAAAAGTTTTTTTTATAATCGCTGAAAATGTCATTTGCTAGTTGAGTAATTTAAATAAACATACATTAATTCCACAATCAACACATATCCACATATTCAAAAGAACATGATGCTTTGGCCCCCAGGGTGTGGCGGCCCCTTAAAAGGAGAAAAGAAAGATAACAATAATGGATCTCTGTTCAGTCTCTTCCCTGCTACTATGCTTACTGCCTACTGTCTTCGTGAGTTAGAGGCAGAACAGAAGAAGACAGCTGAGAATTGTCTGTTTGCAGAATCCCACTGCAAACACTTTTCCATATGCTGCAGACACAACTGAGGGGCAAAGGGAAGGGGGGGAGGCCGAGAGAGACAGAGAGCGCTAAACGTATGTGAAAAGGTTGCCCCCGGACACAGTGTCAACCCGCATCAGGGCAAAGGAGACACTCAGCTTGCGCACACTCGCGCACACTCAAAGACTAACACACGTATTTGAAGAGCTATTGCAGCGGGGCCAGCTCATAAAATGGAGATATAGTGAGGAAGAGAGAAGAAAGGTATTTTCTGAAATGACACTTCTTAGAATCTCCCCTTCCCCTCTCCCCCTCTCTCTTGCGCTCCCTTTACCCTCTCATTTTCTCCATCTCCAGACGCCTGCCTCCTCCTCCGCCTGGCCCCAGGGAAGGAGCGGAGAGGCGGATACGGATGTAATCCACAGCCCGCCAGTGTAAGCACAAAATTAATTCTCTCTAAGCCACAAAGAATTAATCCCTCTCCTTGTGCTTGGTGCTGAGCGAGACTTGCACACAAACAATTGCGTTTGTACACACACATGTACACATACACGCACGCCAACTCTAAGACACTGTACACGTGCAAAAGCACTTGACACCCCCCAACACTTCCCCATATTCATATTCACATGCACAGACCCACACCCTTAGGCTCTGTAACCACACACACTTTTGGGCTTCTTAATTCTCATTAGCACTGGTAATGGCACATCAGAGCACAAAGAGGGTTTTAATCAGCAACCTCAGTCTAACAAAGACGCCCTGCACCCCCCAGGCTCTCGGCCTCCCACCTTGCAGCCTAAACAAAGCACAAAAACCTTTAGACCTGTCCCAAAGGTGTGGTGAAAGCAATAGACATAAAGGTAAATTCATTACCTGTACATGTGGATAGATATGTAAATTGTAATCCCTGTAAATTGTAATCCCTGTCATTTTTGCTGTATGATGTCCTTTTGTTGTTCTGTTGTTTATGTTTTTATGTCTTCATGTGGAACCTACTGCTGCAGGTCTCCCTTGAAAAAGAGATCATTGATCTCAATGGGATTTCACCTGGATAAATAAAGGTTTTGAATTGAATTGAATTATAGATGTGGAAAGATCTACTAAAATGTGGACTCACAGTCTTCACGGGTTTGGATGTACAGGACGTTGCTACGGACCCCATCTCCAGCCTGGGTGTAGGCCAGGACCTGGATGCTGTAGTTGGTGAACTTCTCCAGGCCTTTGAGCTCCACCTGCTCCTTGATGGTTGTGATGTTTTGCATTTCACCCCATTCTGATAAACAAAAGGACAGAGATGTTCAGACAAACGGCTGAGCAGTTTTGAGGTCTAAAGGAAGAAGACAGACACACTGAACACACCTCCGTCCGGAAACACAGCCCAGAAGACGACGCGGTATCCCTTCAACACGCCATGCAGCGTCATCCTGGGAGGCTCGGCCCATGTGATCACTGCCTCATCCGATGTTACAGAAATGGCTCGCACATTCTGAGGAGGCTGGCTTGGAACTGAAGACAAAGAGGAAGAGAGAAGATAAATGCTAAGATCAAAACAACATATATTCAGTTATTTAACATTATGTATATCACATAACAAAGAATAGTCCATTCGTAGAAGGAAGAAAAACATTTGATGACTGAGCTAAGCCACAGATAAAATTGAGAAAATAACTAAATTTAGTTTTATTTAACCCTTTAAATAGCTTAAACTGGATGATCTTATTCCACATTGTCACAATATCCCATTCATATGTTTTGCACCAGCTTATACTAGCTCTTCATTAAAGCTGTATGATGTTTATACAGAGTGAATAATTGAAAAACCCAATAGTCTAGATTGCTGTGTGCACAACCTTTACACATTTCTCTGTGAAAATATTTGGTATCTTTAGAGACTTAACTTAATTTCCCCTTTAGGTAGGATTCAGGTTTGAAAAATGATCAATTTAATTGTTTTTGCGTCATTTGATACACATTTCCCCCAAACGTTGCCAGATATATTTGAGATTAATGAATATTTTTAGATCTCCACTACACTTTAAAACTAAATAGGTTTGAAAAAACTGAGTTTGTAATGGGAGGCGTGTGGCGCAGTGGATAGAGCCTTCGTGTTGGGATCAGGGGGTCACAGGTTCAAACCCCACTGCAGTCAGCATGTCGTTGTGTCCCTGGGCAAGACACTCCACCCCAAATAGCTCCTGTGGGGATTGTCCACAGTATTGAGTATGTAAGTCGCTTTGGATAAAAGCGTCTAACAAGTGACATGTAATGTAATGACTGGTCCATCACATGGTCGTAGGGGTCAGAGGCTGCCATTTTCGCCTCAAAATTAGGACATTGGCAACTTAATAAATAAATACCTCCTCTCTGAAACCCCTACATTTCCATATCAAACCTGAAGTGAGTAAACAGGCTAGCGATCGATAAAAAGCTAATGACATGCGTCCAGCCTGATGTAAAGGACCATCTCTACAACCACCATCTCTCTTTCTCTGTACAAGCCTCCTTCTGTCCCCACAAGCCCAGGTGTCTCTTCTATTGGCTGCCGCTGACCATTAGTCTTTCAGGCTTTGAATAACGCACAGTGTTGAAGATGAACAGAAGTCAACTTGTGATAGAAAGGGGGGCCGGAAGAGAGGAAGAGAGGCGAGTGAAAGACAGAGAGCAATGAAAGAGAGAGATTTGGCCAAGTCCACCAGGGAATTTCTCTGCAGCTGGTGAAGAGGTGGAGAGAGGAGGTGGGGGGGAGGACGGAGGAAGAGAGGGAAGGGGGATTATAATTCTGAAAAACAGGGTTTGGCACAAATAAATCTTTAAGCAAAATAATTTGAAACAAAATATGTTGTCCTCCCTTAACAAGAGATATAAAACAAAGAAAGAGGATATGAATGAAAAGGTGAGCTGGTTTTCCAAATTGTAAGCATTAGGTTCGGGGTTAACCCTTAGATGCATAAGTGGGTCTTTTTGGACCCGGTGAGGTGGTTTTCTTGAAGTATCTTTGTAATTACATTTTTGTATCATTTCATATTCCAGCTATTCCTCAAAAAACATGTTTTGGATATCATGCCATTCTAATTTTAAATTTACATTTTATACATTTTAAGAAATTGTAGTTTTTGTATTACTACCCCAAGCTTCCATAAGTGGGTCTTTTTGGACCCGGTGAGGTGGTTTTCTTGAAGTATCTTTGTAATTAAAAAAATGTATCATTTCATATTCCAGCTATTCCTCAAAAAACATGTTTTGGATATCATGCCATTCACATTTTTAATTTACATTTTAAGAAATTGTAGTTTTTTTATTAGTACCCCAAGCTTCCATAGGTGGGTCAAAACTGACCCGCATGCATTTTCTATGGAATCCTATGGGAAAACGTTTTTTTTCAAAATGTAAAAGAAATTTCTAAAATTATAAATAGTGAAAAATTAAATATAAAATATTTCTAGTGTGAACCAAAATATAATACTAAATATTATACAAGAGATTTTTCTTAACCAAAATGACAAAAATTCCATAAAAACACATATTATTCTAATACGGGTCCTTTTAGACCCACTTATGGAAGAGTGTAGGGTCCAGTCACTCGTGCATCTCAGGGTTAAAAAGATGGAAGGCAGAAACACTACAACCAATCAGTAAGACTGTTGATGTATTGAATAACCTTGCATAAATAACAACATAAATGGAAGGAGAAAAAAAAGAAGGGGAATACGAGGACACACTGAAAGGCAGTTTTGGACTGGGCGACAGGGAGGAGGAGGAGAAGGGGGTGAGGGGCAGAGGAAGAAGGGAGGAAGGGAGTTAAAAGCAAGGGGAGCAAGGGAAGGGCAGAAAAAGATGAAAAGAGGGAGCAGAGAGACAATGTGCTCAGCTGTGGATAATTACAGCAGGAAGCAGCGGAGGGAACGAGAGAGAGAGAGAGACAGACAGACAGAGAGACAAGCTAATTATAATTATTTTTAGTATGCTTGTTGTTATCACTATTATCATAATGGCCATCAATATCACTGTCGCCACGGTGACAGCCATAGGGAAGAACTGGAGGGCTCATCCGGCTCTGGACCAATGGGGCTCCGCCAAATGTTCACTGGGTGGACAAGTATGTATGTGACGTATTTGTATGTTTGTATGGGGAGAAAAAACAAATGTGGATGAGGTACATGTATGATTGAGAGAGGCGGCATGTAGTGAAAGAAATGTGCATTTCAAGCGTACAGATTAATTGAATTGATTGCAGCTCAACGCTGAAAAAAAGGAGCACAAGAACAACAATATATTTCAAGAACAATACCAAGTGTTCTTATAAGATATGATGATATTTGTCCTTGTATGGGTGTGTTGTTAGAATATGGCAGCTTCTTTTGGGATTCATTTGGCTCCTTCCTGGCCAAAGGTCAAAAGGTAAAATGTATTATTAGTTTACAAGAAAGCCTTTGGAGGTCCAATCCCCAACATGAATGAAGTCCATACTCCTACTAAAAAGTGATTTCTAATAATGAAAAAAAAGGAATCTAAATAGTGACTCTGTTCAATACGAACACGCAGACAGTGATGGATAATCTTTGCCCTATTTCTTTATGTTTTAGGAAAAAATACATTTAAAAAAATGTTTTTGCAGATCTCTATTAAATTTGGTTGTAGATAATCTCAAATTAAAAAGTGTTTGGTTTGGAGCTGAATAGAGGTGTGTATTGCAGATATAATAATAACCTATATATTTCATAATATGAATACTGGGAAATGCTTTTGTAGTCCATTCAATCATTTGCTCATTCATCTATCCATTCGCTCAACATTTGGCCCATCAGGCTGCATAGCAGTATCTCTGCATGTCTCACTGTACAGGGATCACTCAATGCTCTTTGCGGTGCTGCTGAATGGGTACTGTGTCTATGAGACTATGTGTGTCCTTGGTATTTGTAAAAAGCATTTGGATGCCAGCAGCCAACATTTATTCTTGTTGAGAGAAGAGAGAGAATATAGTAATTTTAGGATACAAAGCATGGCATGATTTGACATAGATCAGACAGTGAGACAGCTAAAAGAACAATGGCAGCAGACAAACTGCAGTAACAGTGAATCAAAGCCAGAGCAGACAGTGGGGGATATTTCATAGGCCTGACAGTTTACTCTGCCACTGTTTTTAATACACCATGCAGTTTAACTTGTGTCCTTTATTGCTGCTGGTGACCAGTTCACATTTCCTCTCTTAAACAGACAAGATAAAATACATCCCTTTCCCCATAAGTCCCCATGCTGAGATATATATATATGTGTGTGCTGTTTACTGCGATCCTCACCATCTTCCAGTGTTGTGGCATTGATCTCTGAGCTGGAGGGTCCTGTGCCGGCTCTGTTGAAGGCCTGGACCACCACACCATACTGAGCAAACTTCTTCAGGTTGTCCAGGGTGTAGACCTCACTGTCTCCAGTGGCCTTCATCTCCACAATGCTGTACTGGCCGTTACTGCCCGGGCCGTTCTCTCTGTATCCAATCTGGTAACCCCTGATAACCCCGTTCTGCAGCTCCTTCCTGGGGGCCTGAAGAATGAAAAACAGATATACAGTACTGACATCAAAAACATATTAGATTACTTTGCAAGCAGCTACAATGTGAGACGATCAGATAATTCAATGTTACACAAACATAATCTTTTAGAAAGTACATAGCTGTTCAGAAGGCAGGCAATTTGAATACTTTACCTTCCATGTGACCCTGATACTTTGAGAGGTCACAGGCTGCAGGATCACCTCCATGGGAGGACCATCAGGCTCTGCAGAGACAGAGATTTGTGAGAGAGGGTTATATGGGTTGCATGTCCTAGCAACAAGCAACAACAAGCAAAAAGGAAATATTTGCTCACATTAGTGCAGTGCTGTACTTACGTGCTTCCTCTGTGCTGATGGTGAGTTCCTTGCTGGCCTCGCTCTTGCCTATCGAGTTATAGGAGTACATGCGGATGCTGTAGACAGAGGCGGGGTGCAGGTCCACGATGTTGGCCTGATTGTTGCTGGGGGAGATGTTTCGGGTTGCATGCTTCAGCTCCCAGGTATCTGGTGGAAATGTAAATGATAAATTACTTAGTTGGCCATCATAATCCCACTTCAAAAAACACATTTTGATTAATTTGTGGATATGTTGTTCTGACTCTTATGCAATATTAAGGCTATGATTGAAATCCCATTCTAACATTGTGCAAAGTCTGAACTGAACTCAGTGTTTTATCCAACTGGTTGAATAAAACAGTTACGAAAGAGGGGCATGGGGCAAATGTTGTATGCAGTATGTTAGTATGACATTTTGAACACTAAGTCCTATTTAGACTCAAATACAGCTCTTGAGAATAATATTTAGTTCAACAGTCAATTTCTATACATTCTGTTGTGTTTCAAATAAAGAAAAATAAACACCAAGAGCTCAGCACATACATACGCTGTCAGATTACATTTTCTATCCTATTTCCTGTGAAATTAATAAAATACCTTTTTTCACCTACCTGTCTTGTTCTTATACTCAATATCGTACGAGGTAATGACACTGTTTCCATCAAATCTCTGTGTCCACCGTAGATTCATACTGCGATCTTTCACTTCTCGCACTTCCAACTCTGGAGGGTCTGGGGGCTCTGACGATTTAAATTAGGTACAAAGGGAGAAGAACAACATTAGGGAGGAAATGGCGACACCAAAACAGAGACACTTTTGGTTGGAAAAAGCAGGTTTGTGAAGCTGTGATCAATCTAAAATGGGGATGGTACATGCATTTGTATATGAATGGTTACCTTGCACAGTGAGCTGGATAAGGCCTCGTCCTTCGCCGTAAGAGTTGATAGCATGACATGAGAAGAAGACTGAATCCTCACGCTCTGCTGGCTTTAGCTGTTTGGAGAAAGGTATGAATACAAAATGTCAAAGAGACCAACAACATCTTTGAATGTAAAGCACAGCTTCATTGCCCTGGTGTCAGTACATATTTTACTCTTCCCGCATTTTTGGTATTTAAGTGAGTCACCGCTCGCTGCATTGGGAGGAGAGCTGCACTCGGTAACCCCAGGTGTCAAGATTCACTTCTTGCCACCCACCTGCTCAAAAAACGTCAAATGACACACCCTCTGTGCCATTTGTGTCCCTTTAGCTGGTAATGGTGTATCCTCACAGACTGTCGCTAAATCACAATAACCCTATTGAAGCATGTTTTGCCTGTACTTTAAATAAAAATACATGCTTTAACAAGTAGATATATCTAAAAGCACACGTGAAATAGATGAATTATTTGTAATGAGATGAATTACAATCCGTTTAAGGCGACAGGTAAGAGTTCCATCTGAAGTCTATATTTTGAGATGGATAAATGACACCAAAGGTGAGTTAATCTTGTGGAATATGCAAACACAAGCTTGTTCCCTCTTGTGAGCATCAAAACAGCAGGAGGGGGGGTTATCCTCAAATCTCACTGGACACACAGTTATTTAGCTGCTCTTGGTTGTTACAGGGTGACCCTCTCTTAGTATCATAAACCAAAGACAGTCCATCAACAGGTGCAACAGCTGCCTGCACATTTTCACCTTTCCTGTGATACCCAACACATCATTTTAGTGGAGGTAGACATGTGGCTGCCTTAACCAACGCTGTGTGGTGGAGCACAATAATGACATGGCTATTTTCAGGTCTAACGGAAGAGAGACATCATTCTTTTTTGGCAAAATATGTTGTGTGGATGTCCCAAAACTGAATAGCTTCCTCTCATGAGATGATGGTCCGAACACTAACAGCTAAGTGATGATATATCATGGTGCAGAGCAAACTGATGTTAAACAATTAGATAGGCCTTGACTGTTACCAACCTTTAATAACCTCTAACACACTGACAGATAGGATGATGGACTCTGTCTGATTTCCCCGTTATTTTGTATATATACAGTCTATGGTTATTTCCCACACTGCACACTAGAATCTGCCTTGTACTGCCTTGACTCATAAAAACAGAGCTCAGACAGACATAAGAGAAAAGTGAAAGCTATCTATTTGTCAACTGAGTAAGAGTCATAAATAAATTGCTGTGTGATATCGTGAATTAGATGCCTTACTCTATATAAGAGCTTCTTACCTTGAGCGTAGACAACACCTCGTCCGTCTTCTCGTTGGGACTGGTGATAATGGAGTATCGGGGGTTGCGGTCAGGGTCAATGACTGTGTCGCCTCTCTCCCAGCGGATGATGATGGGCCATTCTCCCCTGGCTGTGCAGTTCAGCTCCTTCAAGTGACCCTTCTTAGCCATGGTGGTGTTGGGGTGACTGGTGATCATCGCGGGGACTGGAAGGAGAAGGGAAATGAAGTGTGAGATGAAGAGAAGGGGAGGACAAATGAGGGCGAAATGGTGGCAGTAAACAGATTGATGAGGGGGATATTAGAAGACAGAGGCGGATAAGAAAGAGAGAGAGGAGGAAAAGATGGAGTAAGTGGATAATAAGCAGGGTTTAAGTGGAAAGAGAGTAAGACGTGAAATGGAGAAGAGAAGAGAATAGGGCAGTTTAAAAGGTGGAGTTCAGTGTAGCCAAGTTCCATTGCAGTAGAGTAATGAAGAGCTATGGTCAATGAGATAAAGTCAATACACCTCCTCTCCTATTCTCCAATAGTTAACACTGGAGTGTAGGTGAATGGACAGGAAGAAGCGATACACTCCACCTTTCGTGTACACCCTATACACAAAATCACTCCCAATCTTCTCTGGACACACACACACACACACACACACACACACACACACACACACACACACACACACACACACACACACACACACACACACACACACACACACACACACACACACACACACACACACACACACACACACACACACACACACACACACACACACACACACACACACACACACACACACACACACACACACACACACACACACACACACACACACACACACACACACACAATATACCGATCTGAGGAGGGTTCTGCTGTTTTGTTTTCATCACTAATTCATCTCACCCTCCCTCTTTTCCTCTTTTCCTCTTTTTCTCCCTCTCCACTGAGCGAAACAGACAGAATTGAGAGAGGCAGAGGAGAGGAACGGTTCAATCAATAACACTAACACCAGGGAGAGAGAGGCAATCCTGTGAAAGCAGAGCTTGGTGAAACTATTGCCTGTCTTTATGTGCACCTGGTTACATGTGTCTGTGTTTGCAGATGTCAAAAGAAGCCAGATATTAAGCGTTAACATCTCTTTTGTTGGTATTGCTGTTTGTTAAGGTCAAGGCACCGCTTCCTTCAAAGAAAACTGCCCACTTGTAATGCTTGACTTGATATTGACTGTATGGGTGTATATTTCCCCCATGCATGTTCACATTGCCTTACATAGGGGTGTTACTGACAGTGAGGGCAGGATGAGAGAGATTGATTGCAGATAATGATTAAGCTCAAAGTGTTTTTGATTGTGTGCAGACAGATCCCAAGAGTCAAAAGATCAATTGCTCAGTTGCTCACTTTCTCGCTGCCTGTCACACACACACACACACACACACACACACACACACACACACACACACACTGACACAAACCCCCATTCTCCCTCTCAGTGTTCTTGATTGTTTTGCTCTTATGTCCATGGTCAGCTTTGCTGCCCACACATCACAGGGAGAGCAGTGCGAGCTGGCTCATTGGGTTGCAACAGTTTGCGTGAAGACTGATAAGGCCGAAGCATTGGAGCATCCCAGATGGCCTCTCCGCAGTCAGGTATGGCATGAAAAACTCGTACTCTGCAACATTAGCTCGCGTTAGATTGTATACTCACTCTTAACGGTAAGAACCATGCTCTTGCTGATGTCTGAGCCCACGCCATTGGAGGCCTGACAGAGGTAGAAGCCCCGATCCTCTTCCAGGACATGTCGGATGAGTAGAGAGCCGTTACCCATGATCTGGATACGGCCCGTCAGAGGCACAGGGTGATACTGCTGCGGATTCCCAATACCCGCTAGACAGAAAGAGACAGGAGATTATGATGAATTGTACCTTAACTGAGGATTCATAGATTTTGATCAAACTTTTTTTGGGTGGTGTGAACTTATAAATATGACAATGTGTCAAGAACAGCCAGCAGAGACACACCAGATAAACAATGAAACATGGGTCATGTACCTAGTGCAGCTTTGGCATGTTTCCACATGACTTTTGGAGGAGGGTACCCATCTACTGAACAGTTTAGGATCCCTGCCTTCCCATAGATCCCATCCTGATTGTTGGGCTGAACCACAAACCGAGGAGGCACTGGGGGAAGAAGGAGAGAAGATATGAATAAAAAAACACTTAATTTTGACCATACTCCAACTTTAAGTCACCCAACCTTATTTGACTGCAATACTAAATCCCTTATTTCATTAAAAAACTCTTCCCTTTACCCTTCAACCCTTTCAAAATATCACTTTTATACTTATATTCTCCGCTCCACTTGTTCTTACCTGTAACTGTGAGCTGCCTCTCCGTGCTGACAGTGGCAGCATCGTTGCTAGCAATGCAGGTGTAGTTGCCATTGTGTTTGAGCGACACTTTGGATATTTGAAGAGAGCTCATGAACTCCTTTGTGTCGATGGTGATGCCCGAGGAGGCCACGATCTCCTGCCCGTCCTTGCGCCATGTGATGCGTATTGGCATATCTCCAGACGACACCACGCAGGCGATGTACATCAGTTTACCGATGGAAGTGGGTGGAAAGTCAAATGGCTGGATCAGTGGAGGAACTGTAAGAGGTGGAGAAGGGGTGGATGAAAGATTGAGCAAGAGATGGAAAGGTAAGGAAGGTGGAGTAAATAAATATGAAGTAGAGGTGAAGTAACCGACATAAGTTAAACAGATAGTTCAGGCAGATGAAATCGAGGAAATATATGATGATAAGGAATGGAAAATAAAGGGAAAAGATGAATGAATCAGTCAGAGGGTTGTTTAAATGAGTGGGTGAGTAAGAGGTGAATATAGAGATTTGAGGCAGATATGAATAAATTAAGGATAAAGAAAAGAGTCAGATGTGAAGACACAGAGAGAATATGGTTAGACACATAGATGTGAAGATTGGGGGGCATCGAGGGGACATGGGATGGGAGAGTGAGTGAGTGATGTTAGGTAGAAGGATACAGAGGTGGGAGACATAAAGACAGAGTGAGGTTTTTTTCAGAGAGCATGGTTCAGAATCTGCTATTTTTACCTGACATGCTAATCGGTAAACTAGTGGTGTTTCTGTCCATCTGATTTCTTAAGTCTTTCATCAAAGCCTGGACCCCCAATCCTTCAAAAACACCGCACCCTGGCCTACTAGCCCACTCCCCACTCTGCAGCTGCCTGTGCCCCCTCCACTCCACTCCACCCTGCCCTGGTAAAGCCAGCCTATAATAGCTGCTCTAATTAGAGCCCCATCCGCCGGGGGAAGAACGGTGTTGCTATGGAGAGCAGCGGAGGTGATGGCGGTGGTTTGGAGTGGGGAAGGAGGGGAGGGTTGTGGTGGTGGTGGGGGGGTAACAGCTGAGACATCTGGGGGATTTAATCTGGGCCTCGTTAAAATTCATCTAATTAAATCAGAGACATGACGAGCACACATTTATACAAGCACATACCTACACCCATACCAAACGCAGCTAATGCACATTTACCCACGCATGTGCATGTCCATACAAGTACGCTTGTGTACACGCATAGAAAAACACTGCAAAGACACCCGAGCATCACAGACTTCACACATCGGCTAATTTCAAGGCGAAACACACAAAACTCACACTCAACAACTTCCTTAAAGAAACGTGTCATGCCATCGCCGGAGAGAAGAGCGAATATCATACAAGATGACATGAAGAATATATAGCACACACTAACACTATGTAATTCACACACCTATTTGCATAAGAATAGCATGCACACACATACATTTTATCCAATAGCACTCAACATGTGGTTGAGAGGCTGCACTGTCGGCTCTGCCCCTTAATCAGGGGTTATTAGAGGCAATGCAGAGCGTACAGCTTTCTTCTTCCTCTCCCCCTGTTTCACTCTCCCCCTCCTGCTCCCAGTCTTACTCGCTCTCCATCCCTCCTTCAGTAACCCTCTAATTCATTCATAATTTCTTCCGCCTGCGTCTTCGACATCATGGCCCTCTCAAACACACCTAGATTCACCTAAATTATGATATAAATATATATTCACTCAATATGTTTAACTCATTGGACAATCCCCCCAAAAGTATACACTTATGTATCAGTTACACCACCGAACAAACTGATTATGAGTGCTGCTATATTGAGAGACATCTGTATGACTCTTCAGCCTTATGTAAAAGAACTGTAAAACTGACAAAGTTTTCACCTATTTAAATGATGACCTGCAACTGACCTTTGACGGTGATATAGACAGTCTGCGTGATGAACAGCTGTGGTTGGATGAGCACGCTGCAGACGTAGGCCCCCTCATCCATCCCCTTCTGAACATCGCTGAGCTTCAGGGTCCCATTCTCATAAACCACCTGAACAGAAACCATTAGTGTTATGATGCATGAATGGTCTTCTTACTCACACATTTTGTAAAAGCTGTGAATTCAAATGAGATGATTCTAAGTCCAAAACATATCCGGCACTGATTCAGACCTCCCCATTCCTCCCCCCCCCCCAGGTTCTGATATATTTTGAGCAGAAATGCAGAGAGCAAAATCCACCTGGCGATGATTGTCAGGCAGCAGAAGCCCCTCCTTGTACCAGTTGATTGAGTAATAAGGGTACCCAATCACACGGCAGTTTATGAAAGAGTTTCTTCCTGCCACTGCAGTGATGTTCTTCATAGGCCGAATCCTCGGTGGACCTGATGGGCAGAGAGAGACATATGGGCAGAGGGAGAGGGATGCAGAGAAGGATTGACAAGAGGAAGAAAATAGAGGGAAAAATTATAAAATCGTTAGATGATGGTGTCAGAAACAGGTTTTGGAATTTTAGGAATAAATGGGAGAGTTGAAAAGGAAGGGAGTTGGGGAGTAGTTAAGAGACAGAAGAGAAAAAAAGCATGTGAGTGTATAAAGAGAAAGAGAGATGTCAGAGTGCAAACTGCTATGAGTTGCATCACTGTCAATGTCTCCTGAACCTGCCACATGTGTAGAGTGCAGGGCCAGCCTATCATGGAAATGTTCAATGCATTTTGTATTGACTGTGGGGCATGGGTAAAGTGCTGTACATTGTTAAAGGTTGCTTAGTGTGAAAAACACATTGTATTATAATGGTTTCAAAGTAATGAACATGTGAAATCTATAAGGTTCAAACTGCATAGTGTTTTGAGGGACGAGGAGAATTAGCAATAATGGTCAAAACAAGTACAGTAATTGGCACAGTAGACTCACAGGATCAAAACATCTAGGAAAGATCTGATAAAAAATACAAATATATAACAGAAATTAATCTTGAATGCCTCAATATGTTTGTCATGTACTGTTGCCAAAAGACAGAGACTGAAGGCTGTCGGCCAACAGGCAGACAGACAGTCAGACGGACACAACATGTGTTTAGCATTACTGGAAGTCACTGGGAGCGATCCCTCAGTCATCCGTCACTTCTCCTGTGACCTTCTCACCATTGTAAGTCTTGTATCTTTGTTTTTGTTTCTCCTTCCAGCCCTCCTACCCCCACTTCTCTTCCTCCGTTTCTCTCTCCTTCTTTTCTCAGTGTGTGCTGAGCTTTGAAGTCTCAGCTCTGACGAGTGAAAGATGTATTATTCAGTAGCACAGACACACACACGCCGACACACAAGCACATATACAGTATAACGTGCATGTGTGTTCAACAAAGTCTATGTGGATCAGTATCTTTGCTGCTGGCCTCTCACTGAACGGGATAAGTTGAGTGTATCACATTTCAGCAAGTGGGTACGCTTACCAATGTGTTACTGCTTTCTCGTGTGTGTGGTTATGCAGGTGTGAGTCCATGTATGTGTGTATTTGTTGAATATGTCTTGCATGTAGAGCTGAAACTCTCTGGCAATGAAGCTCATTCTCACTCCAATGATTATCCTGGCATGTCATCTTAGAGCGGACTCACATGTCACAACTACACATCTCCACAAACAACAGAGAAAACAGAAACAGATAGAGAAACAGAGAGACAGAGCGTGATACATCCCTGTCCATCAGTGTCTGTTGTCTCCGACGACAGTGACATCACCAGTCCTGTCACCAGAGTTCACCATCACTCCCTCAGCAGACACTGGCACTCCTCACTCTTCTAACCTCTTCTCTTATTTCAGCTCTCTCTTCCCTCTATCTGTTGCCCTCCGTTTCTTTCTCTTCTAAAGTGTCTTCATGCATTTGTCTCACATTTGCTAAATCTCACTTCATCTCTTTTTGTCACTTTGTCTTTCTATATGTTTTGCAAAAAAATCTCTATTTGAACAATTTGTATGCCTGTACATGTGTGTGTGTGTGTGTGTGTGTGTGTGTGTGTGTGTGTGTGTGTGTGTGTGTGTGTGTGTGTGTGTGTGTGTGTGTGTGTGTGTGTGTGTGTGTGTGTGCACAGGTAACTGAAGTAGGTGGATCAGTGGGTGCATTTTGTATGTGTTCTTATGCATGTGCTTTTTCACAGGCACATGTGCAGAGCCACAGTAAGCATGACAACAGGACATTAACAAACTGCAAGAAAGAAAGAGAATGAGAAAAACAACATAAACACCATATGTGCTGCTGAAGCAACAAATACAGTAACACACAAGAATAAAGATTGACGGACAGAACAAAAAAGTAAAGAGAAAGAAAAGTATATTTACAATAAAGCAAAACACACATATAGAGATAGAGGTAGAGATATAGAAGGGTACAGGGTAGGGGTCAGGCTATGGTAAGCATCTGTATGACTGATATTGAAAAGTAGACAGGCACCTCTTACGTTTATGCGCGCTTGGTACTCGGCACTACCGGCCGAGTTTCGTGCGGCGCACCGATACACTCCTCCATCGCGAATCTGCGGGCTGCTGACGTTGACGTGGCTCACAGTGCTGCCGTCGGAGAGCGTGTACTGGCTGGCTCGGACACGCGACAGGTCCCGGGCCACAGGCTCGTCGTCCAGGGTCCAGGTGATGGTGGGGGGGGGCGCTCCTTTGGCAGCGCACATCAGGGAAAAGGGTTCACCGGGGACCACCACCCTCTCACTGAAGGAGGCGACAATACGGGGCGTACCATCTGAGGAACAAGACACGAGAGGGGAGAATTTAGAACAAATGATAACAGTGTGTTACATTGTATTTAAATTAGCACTATGTTAAAAACCACCATACTCTAGGAAGCAGAAGCATATGACATGTGTTGTAAGGTACTGAATTAAAAAGTAACACTTCAGTCAGAAACTAAATGGAGCTGCATAAAGTCAAACATAATACAGCCAATCTGCTTGTGTGCTAGACTTACCTTATCCATATGAAGATACATAGGCTATGGGCGTATACAGTATATGCATGTACTCAATGTGTGTGATAAAAGTACAATTACATTTAAATAATTTGAGAGATTACACTCGATGAACATACCAGGAATCCTATGCAATTATCAGTTTAATGTAAAATAAACTGTTATCACTCAATCAGTTTTCTCTCCCTTGTTAACAATCCTCAATAGTATATTTTTGGAAATACAGAAAAAAACTGCCAACAGGACTGCAAATACAAAGTACAAACATATCATAATTTCTCCATAGGTGGATTTATATAATGTAAATCATGCGTAATTGTTGTCTTATTAAGCATCAGAAGAAACACCAGCACAATAACCCCGGACAGTGTTTGTGATGTACACGTTCATGATTATTCACCGCCATGGTAATCCCTTTCTGTCCTCACCTTCCAGCAGTATGATGGAGAAGTCCTGGGCGGTCTGGCCCTTGCGCGTGGCAAAGCACTGGTAAGCTCCCGAGTGTCTCTTTTGTGCGGCGGAAATGAACAATGTCTCATTGTGAGCCCCCTGGATGGAAAAGTGCTGATCGGGCAGGACAGATTCAGTGTTACGGTACCAGGACACCATAAAGTGCGGGGAACCCTGGACGGCACAGGATAGGATGACTGTGCTGCTGATCCCCGTCTTCAGGTTCTTGGGAGACAAGGTGACCCGCAGTGGATCTAGAGATAAGGAAAAGAAAAGAGAAAAGGAAATGTTAGCCACACCTTCTCATTCACAAGTCACAACCTAAACATTGAGAAACATTACAGTGGTGGTATAACTTCCATAGCTGAACAAAAGCAATTTGTATTGAGTAAGGGCCAGGAAACACAAATCACATTTTGTTTTGGTGTGTATTAGTTGTCTGTGTGTCAAGACTTCTTCCATTGCTTATGTGTGTGATAGTGTGTGTGCTAGGCAGCGAGGAAAACCGAGACAGAGAGACAGAAAGGGGAGAAAATGTCAGTGAGCAATAAAGCAGCTGGTGTTAAGTGCTGGAGGCTGCTGAATGTGTGTGAGAGAGTGACAGTGCATGTGTAAGACTTTCTTCACAGGCAATGAGTGCACATACTGCAAGTGTGTGTTCAAGTGTGTGTGTATGTGTACCACCTTCTATGCCCTGTCATAGGAGGTTTGTGGGATGCGCCGTGATGTGCCCCATGGCCAGTCTGCCCAGTGTCCACTAACTTCACCCTTTACCCAACCCCACTCCTCTCTCCAGCTCCTCCCTCTTCTCCTCTCCACAAGTGTGACATCTTCTCTCCCAGCGTCCCCTCCTCATTCATTCAAACACACAGCATTATGAAATTCTCTCTGTTTTTCCCTCCCTCCTTCACGTCCTTGGTAAACAGAGCGACAGGCCTGCAAGACCACTGGTCTGCTCTGTCACCGTAGCAACGCCTCGCTGGGGTTTGAGAGCACAGCGGGGGAACGAGCCGTCCTTGGACATCAGGCTCACGCTCGGCCCAGACGAGGGTGGGTTGTGAGGGTGGGATGTGTGGGGGGGGGGGGGGGGGGGGGGGGGGGGGGGTTGTCGTGTAGCAGGCACGGGGCCAGGGCAAAGCCAACAGAGCTTATATGATGTCTCCATTGCACCTGTCCATGACCTGACATCATCATTCATTACTTCTGTCCATCTCACTTACGCTCCAACTGCACTTGTCAGTGTTGAACAATGGAGGTCAAGATAGCTAAGGGAGTGCTAAGTGATGCATTGTTGTGTGCTGAATTTTGAGATTTTATTCTTCTACTGTAATCTCTTTAGTGTTTTACTCACCTATGACATTAAGATGACCCGTCACCTCTTTGGAGCCAAAGCTGTTGGTGACCTCACAGATGTAGTTGCCACTGTCCTCAAGCCTCAAGTCGGAAACGGTGAGGCCGGTGATGCGCCGTGTCCAGCGGGAGTCAGCAGGTAAAGGCCGACCATCCTTCATCCATCGGATGGTGGGGTTTGGGTATCCGGATGCAACACAGGGCAGCTCAACGCTGTGCCCCATCTGCACCTCACCGGACTGGAAACTATCCAGCACTGAGGGGGTGGACTCCGTAGGGTCTGTGGGTGTAGCACGACACAGAAAGAAACGTAAATTCATGAATTCATAAATTTGGTTCCTAAGGAATAGTTAGATAATTCTTACTGAGAGTTAAATGAATACATTGATAATACACCCATGTCTGTACCATAACATAAAGCTACAGCCAGCAGATGGTTAGCTTAGCACAAAGGCTGTAAACAGTGGACACAGCTAGCCTGGCTATGAGTTATGGGCTGCACTATAGTAGTAACTTGGATAACACGTGTTATTTGTATGCTTCTATGCTGGTTAAGGATCTTTAAACTCCATTTCATTGCACAAACCTGTGTTGTACAGAGACAATATATTTCCTTGAACTTGAACCATAAGTACTGGTAGGTGGATTATCTTCCCAGGCTAGCTGTTTGCTGTTAGGCTGAGCTAAGGTATACACCTCCAGGCTACAGCTTGATATTTACTGTACGGAGTAGTGTTGATTTTCTCATCTCATCTTGGCAACACAACTAAACAAAGTTTATTTTACAACTGTTAAACTATTCCTCTAAAACATAAAACTCTGTAATGCAATTCTATCAAGTAATACAATTGTAAAAGACAAGCAGCTGCTCATGTTTTGATGGCATTTTAGTACTTTTAGTGGAAAAGGAAACTTTGCCTACCCATAACAGAGAGCCTGGCTCCATTGCTCTGGCGAGTCTCTCCACTGTACTTGTGCTTTGTGATGCAGCGGTAGGTGGACAGAGCATCTTCCTTCTGCACTTCTGAGAAATACAGAGCGCCAAATGACGTCAGGAAGAAACGGTTACCTGTGTAGGAGAGCAGAGGGGGAACAGGTAGGGGAGAAAGGAAGGATAGGTTAGTCAACATATATGAGTTGCAAAAATGATAAATAAGGCATGTCATTAGCATGTAAAGCAATGTGAGGGTTTACAGATAGAGGGTGCGGTGTGCTGCACAGATTGTAAAGCCCCACATTTTTAATTTTTATTATTGCCGATATAAATATTATCGACTTGACTTGTGTCTCATGCCTGGGTGCATTGGGCAGAGGAATTTTCCAGTTTAGACATTTGAGCTTTGAGGCCTAATCTTTCTCTGTTAAAAGGTAATATTATCTCACATCACATTGTGATTCGGACAAATGTGATTACTGTCCAGAATTGGGCTTTATTTACTTTCTCGCCTTCTCTATGGCTCAATAATATGTATATTTACTTGCACAATTTTACAGACATAGAAGAAGCTTCAATGTCTTTTCAAGTTGTATTCACTTTTCTTAATGGTGTACACACATTTATAACAATCTTCTGTATTCACTGTATTTTGTTTCTCATTTCTATACATTTGCTGAGGAAAAGGTGTTCAGAGAAAACCCTATTTGGTGAGGAAAAGGTCACTTCAGACATGTGATGCTGTTGAAGTAGATGAGAGATGCCAACCTCTCCATCATGAGACCCTCTTGACAAACCTTGAGCATATTTTTCAGAGAAATCACTGATCTCCAAAGAATAGAAAACAGGACTAGAATATACATGTCATCAAAAGGCCAAACCACAGTACTTGAACACAGGGGAGCTTTTAACAAACTCTGTCACATCCATCTAGTGAGAGTTACACAATAGAGGAAGAGCGATAAGGAAGACGAGAAAGAGAGAAGAGAGGGGGGAGTTATTGTAGGTGTTAATAATTGATGCGTCTCTGTGTGTTATGGTAACAGCAGATTAGTGTCATTTTCATTTCACATCAGTGACTGCTTGGTCTCCCTCTGATTTATCTACATGTCAATAGAGAAAGCATGTGCATGTGTGTCTATGTGTGCGAGAAGAAGAAGAGAAGAGAGAGATGGAAGGAGAAGAGAAGAGAGAGATGGAAGGAGAAGAGACGAGGAGAGTGTATTTCGGTGTTTGATTCTTTCCGCTTCTCTGCATCTTTTTGTATTCTGTTCCCCCAAAGGGTTATTTTAGACAGTGTGCACTTCCGAGTTTGTAGTAGATTGCAGATTGTTCGGTTATGCGGATGCTTTTGCAGTTTGTTATGTGTGTTTGTGCGAACATTCTGCCTGTTGTTTGCTGTACATGATGTTTCAGTTGTCTCTTTGCAATGTTGACAAGAGAGGACTTGAGTTAAACACAGGTACATTGAATAGTTGATTACGGGAAATATATGATGTACACACAACGCAAAAACATGCATAAATACACACTCATACACACACGCACACCTCCAAGCAATAGGTCAGCACCTAGTCACTGCATATTTATTCTGAAACACTTATGGTTCTAGCTGTTGGATGTGTCTGATTGTTGATGAAAAGCGGCTGTAGTGTGAAAACTTCACAACATAAGCCGCCGTTTTAGTTGGTTTTTATTTTGCTCTTAAATTATCCTCTTAAGAGTCAATACTGGCAGTTAATAATTACATGGTTTGTAAGTCCTATGTTTTTGATTGACAAAATGTATGTATCAATGAACATGTGTAGATATAAATGTGCAAGTATCATTAAACAAGCCAGTGTTTGGGTGTGTGCGCGAATGTGTGTGTGTGTGTGTTAGCCCTGCCAAAATGTGAGCAACAATCGATGCATTTTATAGCTGCACAAGTCCATCCAAAAGAGATTGATTAAAACAAAGAGGGCTGGCCTGGCTCCCTGCCATTCACACACACACTAACAAGACTGATATGTGAAGAATACTGAAGGCTTTACCTCTTGTGTCAAAGCTGCCAAGTTTGGACAGACTAATCTAAATGTGCCATTTTTCAAGATCACAGTGGATATTTCGTTATTGTTGCTCATTCTGTTGAATTTCATATTATCCTATAAGTCCATTTGAAGTAAACTATGGCCAGTTTTTAGAAAAATTCCAAGGAGATGTCTTTCCTCAACCAAAAGCCACAGATATTCAATCTAAAATGATAAAAACCAAGAAAAAATAAATGTTGGTTGACTGATTACTGTACAAAAAGTGGTGCTAACTAGCTTCTAGAGCTTGAGAGACCCTTTAAATGTCAGATTGACATATTAATACGTATGATATTTTCATTTAGTAAGTCTACAATTTGCACACACACACACATCAACACACACTTGTAACAGCCTGTGCGTCTGCATGCATATGTGAAAGTTCAGACACACGTGTTTTCATGTGAGTCAGACTGTTGTGCTGAGTGCTAAGCGACGTAAGCTGTAATTTCCAAGCCTGCCCTTTTGTTACAACCTGGGTATTAAGCCTTACAGGATAATATGCACTTGGCGAGTAGAACCCTGTATAAAACACTGCTACTCCCTGTCACAACATGCCTGGAGAGAGGAAGACAGACCAGAAGGGGGTGGGGAGGGGAGAAAGTGGGGGGGTAGAGTAAGAAATTCAGAGATGGTTAAGAATGGAGAGAAAAGAGAGTGCAGGGGACATTAATGAGACAGTGTGTCAACGCTTGTGGCAAATGAATCTTATCTACTACTCTTCCCTAATTTTCTGAATTATGAATTCATTGTTTAGTGCATAAAATGTGAGAAAATATTGTCCATCACAATTTCCAAGAGTCTAAGGTGACATGGCACACAAAGTGTAGTACAACAAAGGTAGATAAAAGGGCAGTGATGCGTCTAGATAAACCTTTTTTCTCACAATCTTTTGACAGTACTAAATCAATAGATGCCAATCAACAGTTTCCTTTTATCAATTAACATATCTATCTATTAACAAACAAGTACTTGCTGCGTGTTAAAAGCTTAAGGAAATCTTTAAGGGATATATTTGGGTAAGAAATTGAAATGTCCAGCTACACAATTTATCGACAGAAAATAAAGTGAATAACAACTGAGCAAAATCAATTATTTTATCAAATTTTATCGATTATCAATTAATAATTTCATCACTATACCTAATCTACAGTGGCCCATTAATGAAGTATTCTATTCTCCATCTTTCCTTGACTGCTGTGAGATTAGCCGACTACCCTTCACCTCCTCTCTCCTTCACTGCTGCTCTGTCTACCTGATACCTCATTTCTACTCACTGCCTGCTCTCCTGCTGTCTGTGGAGATGTGACACACCTAAAACAGTGGAGAGGGTGTAGGCTGCACTGGAGGGAGGCAGGGGGGGGGGGGGGGGGGTGGGGAGAGGCTGACCCTACAGGGAGGAGGAGGGCAGATGGAGATTGATGGAGGGAGAGATAGGGAGATAAAGAGTAACATGCCGTTGGGAGTGACAGCGGAGGGAGTGAGAGTGAGAGGGATGAGGGCCTGCAGGCCTCAGAGCCACACACGGGTAAAACAATTCCTCTACGTTGTTCTATGTCCCTCTCCCTCCCTCTCTCTTTCTCCCGTTGCAAGCCTCTCCTTGTGGGAGAGAAGATCAATTCTCGTCTAGTCTGCCTACGCCTCCAGGAGTTTGTTGTTGTTGTTGTTGTTGTTGTTTGCGTGTATGTATGTGCTTCTGTGTCTGCCTTTTCCTTTCTGCTGTAGGAGGCAGGGTGAGATTCCTTTAGGTCTATCCCTCACCCAAGGGAGGCTCAAAATCCCCTCACTTCCTATTTTACTTCCTAACCCTCTCATTCCTTCCTTTTGCTCTTTTACAATCTGTGGGACATCTATTCATCATCGCCGGCTTCTCTTCCTCCCATCTCCCCTCTGCCCTCTACCTCTTTCTATGTCTGCCTTTTTTCCTTCTAGTCCATAGAGTCTGGGGGGGGGGGGGGGGGGGTCTGTAAGTAATGGAATCAGTTCAGCTGATGAGCCAGAGGCAGGAACTCAAGTCAAGTGCAGAGTGAAGATGCTTCTGGATCTCTCTGTGTGTGTGTGTGTGTGTGTGTGTGTGTGTGTGTGTGTGTGTGTGTGTGTGTGTGTGTGTGTGTGTGTGTGTGTGTGTGTGTGTGTGTGTGTGTGTGTGTGTGTGTGTGTGTGTCAGAAATCCCACAGAAAGAGACATACATGCAAATAACGAGACAAAGAGACAGAAGTGGAGAGACGGACGGAAACAATAAGGATTAGTGAGCCCTGGAGCATCTCTTGTCTGCCCCAAAGTTCCCCCAGAGACAGGAGACCCCTCTTCTTTGAGATAGGTGGGGGAGTCAGAGGAGGGGAGGGGCAGGTTAGATAGAGCGGGAAGATGAAGGGATACAGGATATAGGCGCAGCTAAATATATCCCATTATAGTATATGGCTGCCATCTTCAACAAATGATTGTCATACAAGGGAGGGGGATAGCAGAATAAGAGATCATAAAGAGCAAAACAATGATAAGAGAAAATGAAAATGTTAATGTGGGAATATTGAAGCAATCGTGGAGGTTGGGAGGAGAGGATGATCAGATAAGACAGGAAAGAGGGATTGTTTAAACAAGTATCTAAGAAAAGATTTGAGATGCTGGAGGAAAAGCAAGAAAAAAAGTAATATCCGAGAAAAACAGAGCAAGAGAGGAAATGGCGCAAGTCAGGGGGTTTGTTCTTGGAGCTGCCATGCAAATGAAGGCGGCGCTGCAGCAATGCTAACTAACAGCAATTCACACTGTTGGACTCATCACTTATTAATGCTCTACGGCTCCCCCCTCCCTCCCATCTCTTTCGCTCTCCCTCTCTTTACCCATTCCTCTCTCCCCTGCTCTCGCCAGAATCTCTCGTTTTCGTTCGCTCTCTCGCTCGCTGTTGCTAGGGCCCGTGCGCTCACGTGACAACAGCTGGGTAGGGGGGCGCTGCGGTGGCACACGGCGACATGTGCAAGTGTGCTTTTCATGTGTGCCGTGCGTGCGTGTGTGTGCGGCAGAGTACCCTTCATTAGAGGTAAAAAAAAACGGAATCAGCCATTTAA